TTGATGCAGCTTCACTGTAAATTAAATGTGATGTGGTCGAAATGTTCAAGTACTGCCTCTCTTTGATTTGTTGATCTGAGGGGATAAAGGCACGACACTCTCTCCGAGCCAATAATGTGGAGCATTTATTTGAAATAAAAAGCACAATTTATCAAAAATAGTTAGCTTCTATAGACTAAATGTTGATATATCAATGGATTCTTACCTGTATGCAGTATTTCTCAGCTCTGCATGTGATTTTACTCTCTTTCGTTTTGATTTTACAACCAACATTTCAACAGTTTTTGGTTCAATTTCTCTGCACTCATTAGCAGCAGCAGGTCTTTTTTTTTTTACAAAACAAACCTCTGATAATCCCACTGTACACTACCTGCACAAAACCAAACAGCAGAAAGAAAAAGTTAGCAAAAGCTGGAGGGGCATTTAGCCGCTAAAGAGCTAGATATTTCCCTCAGGATTTGATGGAAAACAAAAACAAAGCTAAGGTTAATTGAATATTGGATTTAAATCCATCAGGTGGATAGAAAAACCGCTTGGAATGAATGATAATTCAGGTCTCTCAAAAAGTATTACTTTAACCTCCTAAATACAGATACCTCCCTCGTTCCCTTTCCTGTCTGTGTCTTGAGCAAAAGGGATATTAATGTGATACATTTCAGTTGATCCGTTATTCACTTCAGAGCATTCTGTGATCACCCCAGATGTCACTCTTCTCAAGATAATACAGTTGATTTCCATGCATTTCTTTAAACATCATGTAGCCTATTAATTAAAGGTTTGGCACAGTTCCAGTGAGTCAAACCACAGGGCGAAGATCAACTCAATCAATTACAAAACACACACACACACACACACACACACACACACACACACACACACACACACACACACACACACACACACACACACACACACACACACACACACACACACACACACACACACACACACACACACACACAACACACACACACACACACACACACACACACACACACCCACACACACACACACACACACACACACACACACACACACACACACACACACACACACACACACACCACACACACACACACACACCACACACACACACACACACACACACACACACACACACACACACACACACACAAGAACAGGCAAGATGGAGCTTATGTTGTTTGTTAAACTGACTCCAATGAATGAAATACATTAAAGGTCTGCAGTGAAAGTTGAGGTGCTGCTGCTCATGTTATTAGTGGCACTGAGGTTGTGTGAGTGCATGTGTGTGTGTGTGTGCATGTCTGTGTGGGACTGTGTGTGTCACCAGGGGAAACAAAACCATCAGACAGACCCCTGGAGCAGCTGTTGTCCCCTGCGTGCCCAATGTTTCACACACACACACACACACACACACACACACACACACACACACACACACACACACACACACACACACACACACACACACACACACACACACACACACACACACACACACACACACACACACACACACACACACCACACACACACACAGTATTTTGTTCTGCTTGCACACACGCACACATGCATACAGTACTTTCTTCACCATCTGACCTCTGTTTCTTTTGTATTTTTCAATAGTGTGCTCTAAGCTGCTGTACACATAAATACTCGCTCACACAGAGATTGTTACAGGCTTACCTGAACCTCAAAGAAAGCCAGAATCAAAGGTTATGGTATGGTATATTATGCACATTTCTTGGTATCGTATTAGTATTTTGTGTCTGCACTGTTAACATGCTTTAATGTTCAAAAAGGTCTTTATTTGTCTCATACTGCCTGTGCTGCATTACCTCTTTTCACCCTCTGTCTGATTGGTTGGCTGGCCGGTTCTGTTGTGAATGGTAAACCGCTTAGAAATTAGTGTTACATGATGTCACTATGTAAGGGAAGTATACAGAGGAGTCCAATTCGGGTGTTTCAGGAAGGGGGGGAGAGAGTGTGTGTGTGAGAGAAACTCACTCCTGAGGGAACTTTGGAATTGTATCCTATGCAGATCATTTACATGCACAAAAACACAACACACTACATGAAAGGGAAAACCCCCCAAAAGCATAACAGGGCCTCTTTAAATGTACTAACAGATACCCAAATCTTCAGTGATGTTTAGGAAGTGGAGGTTCAGAGATAAGTATGTGTCTAATGTATGTGTGTCGAAGGATGGAGGTCATCATTTAGTGTTGAAACATCTCCAGACAGATTTGTGAGAAAACTCAAACCATCGCTCTTCACATCTGCTCTCATCTCTGATTGACCCACACTCACCTCCTCTACAGCTCATTAGAAATCCTCAAGGGACTGCGCTTGAAGACGTTTTTCCGAGGACCCAGGCTGCCTCTCGTCCACCAGATGTCTTTCTCTACAGTATAACTCTTTCCCTCATCTAATCCCTCGGTCCTCTTTAACCCTCGCCTTTCTGCCTCACCTCATGTCTCTGATTTGCTCTCTATCTATAGTCGTCTCCCTGGAGGTCAGACGGACAGATGTGCAGCCTTGTCCTCCACACACACACACATTTCTGACCTCATTTCCCCAAGGAGGCCAGTTTATCGGAGCCTATGAAAAGACAACAGCTGTACAGTACAGACAAAGGAGGACGGGGATGTCCTTGTTTTTTTCTTGAGAACTGCGTAGTGACAAAAACCTGTGGTGAAATTCTTCAAGTATTAATGCTGCAACTAACAATCATTCCAGTGTTGCTGTTTTTTTCCTCCTAAATTGGCAAGGAAATTCTCATTTGAGTATAATACTGTGATGTAAGAAGATCTTGTGTTGCCTGAACCACAGGCTATAACCCAAATATATTTAATAATATAGAATCGCTGTGACAAAAACCTGTGGTGTAATTCTTGAGGTGTTAAGACAACTATTTTTTAGTGTCTCTCAATTAGATTTTCCAAAAAAAGGGAAGGAAATTCTTATTTGAATATAATACTGTGATGTAAGAAAATCTTGTTTTGCCTCACACACGGCTTAAGAATCAAAGATATTTAATTTAGGATCATCGAAGGCTAAAAAAAGCTAAACATTTGGGAAGCTGAATAGTTGGTTAAAAAATCATTTGTTTAATAAAATGTATTAAAAATACTGTTAATTAATATTCTGTTTGTAAACCAATTCTTGTAGCTCTTAAATGCTTTGCTCTGTGTAAATGTGTGTTTGTTCACTATCATCTACAACCTGAGTGTCCTTATTAGCAAAGCAAGTGCAGGGAAATCCTTTAAACTTTTAACATCAGTCAAATCTAAGTATCGGTTTGAGCAGGTTGGTTCGGTTAAAAAATATAACAAATAGCTCCTGATAGAGCTGGTCATTGAGTTTTTGGTTTTCAAGAAATGTTCTTTTCTAACATTTTTTTCCAAGGTCAAAAAATGAAGTTCACATGCAACCCAATGTACTACCTTTATTACTTGATCACAAAAATCAGATCCATCTCAAAGACATGTCTAATGACAATCGCAGTATAACTTCAATGTGCAGAGACCCTGATATGTTTGTTCCATATGTTTGTACCCATGATATTAGAAACATGCATTAAAATGCCCAGAAATGTCATATCAAAAAACTAATTCAGGCATTTGGTACGATCGAGTCTTTGGGGAGACTTTAGGACCTGAGGGGAGGACAGAGCAGTGGAGAGAGGCTCGACATGATCTCTCTGGGAGTTCAACTTCAGTTTATTCATCACACCACACTGAACTCTGAATTTGACATTCAAGTTATTCTGATTTACAAGTTGCGTGTTTTTGGATAAATTGAATTAGTAGCTGTCAAATCAAATCCACCGCATCCAGTTATTGAAATCATTTTCCTGTTATTTCTCATTTTATATTATTTTGTTTTGTTGTTAGTATATGTTTTAGATGTAACACTTTCATATTCAACATTAAAACTGAGCGGATCTGATACAATTGTTAAAACCTCTCACGAATGAATCATCTATTGGGTTTCGTTATCATATTTGGCAAATTCAGTAGATCTAACAGCATTGATAGTAGGTGGAGTGCAACAAAGACTCACAATCTTTGCAGATGTGGGCTGATAAAAAGTGAGAATAAAAAGCATTGATTAAATGTGAAATGATTTAACAGGGCTTATAAAAGTAAATCATTGCACTACAGTCAAACTAAATCATGTATCTTCTATTTCCTATTGTTACATGCAGTGTTTTCCATACTTTTACCGCCCTAAACATGTAAATACACTTATTTTGTCAACTTTAGACTTGGGATCGAAAGCATCCGTCTTATTTATTTGACATCTTGGTTGATTTACTTCAAAGTAAAATGCTTCAATCATTTTTCATCTAAAGCCTCTCCCACTGCCAGACTGAGTCCAGTGCAGGTGTTGGTGTGCGAGTGGGAAGAAAAAAATACAAGGAGAAAGCTTCTCAAGCGAGCCAAGAGCCAGGGGCAGGAATTAAATACTCATTATGATCTGGCACCACCAACGCTCTCTTCCTCTATGAGTGTGTGTATGTGTGTGCAGGTGGACATGATCACTAATAACACAACTGCAAAATAGCATCTTGACTTATGTTTGAAGTTCCTGAACAGGAAGGTTTTTCCAGCATATTTATGTGCATGTGTAAGCAAAGATAACATGCAATAATGACTTTGTTTTAGTTAAAGGGGCCCTGTTATGTTCATATTTATGTATTGTGTGCCTCTAATGTGACATGTTCACATGCTTTGATGTTCAAAAAGCTCTTTATTTGTCTCATAATGCCTGTGCCGCAGCAACTCTTTTCACCCTCTGTCTGAAACCAGAGCCCAGTCTGCTCTGATTGGTTAGCTGGACGGCTCAGCCTTGCGTCACGTGCAATGTGTTAGAGCGCTAGCCAATAGAAGTGTGAGTGTTACATAGTGATCTCACTAAAGGAGGTGTGGGAGAGAAACTTTGGGATGTTAGCCTTTGCAAACCTAGAAGCATAACAGAACAAGTTGTATAGCAATCCCAAACCATACACAGTAGATAGCAAATATGTATTTATTAAATGACTGACCAGATACAGTATTTTATACTTAAAACAAATTGGATCAACTTTAAAAACATAAACCCTCAAATTGCAAACAATAATGATCAATTAATTTATACCAAAAATATAAATCTTAAATAATCATTCATAAAATCCAATGTAACCATTACATAAATAGCCATTCAGATTGTTGCTCTTAAAATAAATAGTTAGACTGTTGATAGTTCATATTGAGATACTTTGGAAAGCAAACAATAAAAAGAAACACAGAAGATGCTCAGCAATTTAAATCAGCAAAGAAAATGAAATATGTCTCTCCCTCTCTCTCTTACACACACATACACACAAACTACAAGCACACACTTATTGCATTTAATCATCCGACCACGCACACATGATGTTTTACATCACATAGCTTGTCAGACTGATGAGGGGAACATGCAGAGGCTTTTCCAACAAGCAACGCAGCACGCCGACTGACTCGGTGTCTGAATCCTAACTGGCTTAAAGACCAGCAGACTACCTGAGTTTATTGATTTATGTATTGACTTTTGAATAAAATGACTACTTAATGGAGTGATAGATTAATTGGTTTGTGAACTACTGAGCTCTGTTATCCTTGTCAGATTGCTCTGAGGCTAAACATTTGATTGTCTCTCTTTCTTCTGTAATTTCATACACAACAAAGCACACACCAGTTGAATTAATGTGCTTCAGAGCAACATACATCAACAGGGCAAACTTCACATGAAATCCGACAAAGATAGCACACAACATTTCTGATGTCGGAAAAAGAGGAGTGTTGAGACCCCGGTGAAGTTGTGTTAACAGACGCAACCAGGCAACATGCTAGTAAAAGCCGATAAATATTTCAGAACATAAGACGACACAGAGCATGCATTGCTGTTTGGAGCCCCCCCCGTGCCCTGTACATATGTATGCACCTCAGTTGGAACGCCTGTATTATTAATTAATGTTTACTTTTCGGGCGCTGAAACTCATTGATTACGTTTAATCCAATAATATCTACAGGGTGGGCTATACAGGTTGTTAACTTCTTTACCTAATGAAATAAAAAGCACAATTTCTTCCTACATAAAATAATCAGAGTAGCTTTAAAATGCACACGAGAAATATGATGTTCTCTTGAAGGCTGCTCAGGGTGGATGTTGCTGCAAACCTGATAAATATTTCAAGAATGTAAAAGTACTTGTGTCTTCCCCTTAACAACACAACCAAAGGCCAACTGCTTGCATCGAGTGCATCGTGCTAACCTTGTGTAATGTTCACATTTTAAGGCAGCAACAACTCGTTTTGTGTGACAAACTCTACTCTAAATGTAACATGCTGACACCCGCAGTAAAGCAATTAATACCAGAGGCTCACAGGAACAATCTCTCCCTCCATCTTTGCCTTTTCTCTCCCTCTCTCCTTTTTTGCTCATAACTGGAAGCTTTCAGCTGAAAACACCACTCTTTAATAATTTGTATTCATGTGTCATCGTGCTGGCTATGTGCACTTTTCAGATATGGCTGCAGATCCAACAAGCGCACTTAAACACCAACAACAGAAGTGCAAGGAAACAGGCATGAAATTCTAAAAATTAGTCAGCAAAATAAGCAGCAAATGCACAGACATGTTACACCGACAATTCAGTGTTAGTGTCTCACATGCATGAAAGGACCATGAGCAGTGGTTGTGTGTATTTGTGTCAGCGTCTTATGTCTCTATGTGGTTGTGTTGCTTGTTCTTGTGGTTGTTTTGCGTCTTTATGTGGTCAATTAACGTTGTTTTTTTTGGTCTCTTAAGGTGTGATGCATTGTATTTTTGGTTGTTAGTGATTGCTTTCCGTCTCTTTTTGGTCTTTTGATTGATTAAAAAAAAAAAAGGTCTCTGGCCCAGGGGCCCAAGAGGTCAAGGTGCGCAGTAGGCTAACTCAGTCATCCATTCATGCTCACATGCAGCATGAGGTATGAGATACTCAAACATATATCACACAACCACCTGCTCACACACATGCACACACATCCCAAGGCTTGCTAGTGGCCAACATATGTTCATTGTGGTTGAGTAGCAACAACCTGTTTGGCACCAGGATAACTTACCTCTCCTGTTTCCTCTCAGCAGGAGAAAAGAGCTTAAACGTCTTTGCATGTGTATGTTTGATTGTTCATTGTTGATCCTCCTGAAGAGCAGATGTGTGTCTGCGGTCAACATGTGTCACTGTGTGTCTAATGGTCTAAATCCCCAGCGCCACCTCAGAACAGTTGTAGTAACGCCTCGGGTCCCCAGTCCATAGCCGTTTGAGCCACAGCGAACACGGCGGCCCCGAGCGTGGCGGACAGCCCCCACACTGCCATCTTCACCATCCTGTTCCCCTTCCCCCACAGCTGGCCTCGCTCTTGGGGCAAAGCTGCTTCCAGACCTGAGTATCGAGAGGCTACAAGCACAGAACAAGGAGGGGAGACATGCAGGGGCCAAGAGGTTTCATAAAAGGTGAAAGCTGAACCACAACGACTGGGATTGAAGACAACAAGTGGAGACAAGGGAGGAGCAGAAGTATTAAACAACCAATCCTACTCCAAACAGTACTCTCATTTGATCACTTAGAGGCCTAAATAGATATAAATTCCACTTTTAGTTTCACTTAAAAACTCATCACATTTTAGAGAGCGGGTTGTCTGTGTGTTACTGACTCCCATTCAATGTCTGCCACAGTGAAATCAGGAGGTGCTCTTTCTGTCCGTTACGCATTTAATCTATGATGCTGCTAATTGAATGTTGATGAAACTGCAGGGAATGATGTTCATCAATTTTAATATAACATTGTTTGGCCTGAGGGGAATGCTGAAGCATATTTCTGATTGGCTGTACATCACAGACAGGCACCACTGATCAGATTCTCACAATACCGACGGGAATAAAGCATCTCTTTGTTCTGTTCTGGCATATTTAAATGTGCACTTGATTGGTCTGATGGGTGTACTACATCATTTGTTTACTTGTTATTGATTGGCCCAAAGGGGGGGGGGGGGGGGGCAGTGTTTGTGTGGGATGACACATTTATTGCCTTGTTACGGGTTGTGTTAAAAACGTTTTTTTTTAAGAACTACGGATCCATCCGACGATTTTGATGTTTGAAATGTTTGATCTTACAGTCGATATTAATTTATTCCCACCTACAAAAAGCAGTAAAACTATCTTTTTACACACTATACGCAGGCCGTGCAGTCTTTCCTCAGTCAGTATTAAGATTACAGTTACTATCTTTACCTTGTCTGGAGGTGCTGGAGTCCTGGGCCTTGGTGAGGCGTTTGAGAACGGAGTCGGGCCTCTGATGGAGGGTGGCAAGCTGAAACGCCTGGAAGGTGCTGATGGACAGACTGGAAAACAGAAAGAAGGAGAGTAAGTAAGTGAAAGTGCGCAGGGTCAGATTTTACGAGAAGCATTGACAGCTGGAATGACAGGAAGTGATGGATTGAAGGATCAGCTGATGGATAAAGACAAGTGAGAGAAAGCGTGACAGACAGTTTGAGAGATCTGCTAAGTCAGTAGCCATGGCGTAATGGATTATGGGACAGTCAAGGCCATGTGTCAGTGATGTCACTTCCTCTCCTGAACAATGACTGTAGGTAACAGTGAAGGACGACCAGAGGGAGACTGATGGGGGAACTATGGGCACACTAAAGTGTATTTGAGTAGCTAGAGTTATGTTTCTTCTCAATGATACACATTTTGTTTTAAATGGTCACATGCCTGGTTACACACACATACCCTGCACACGTTGACACACACTAAATGGCCTGTGCATGTCAGCAGCATCACTGACTCTGGATGTGTTTTTAGAGCACTCCCTCTTGGTAAAAGACAGAATTACATCCCACTTTTTGTATCTCATGTTCAGATGAAACTAAAGGTGCAGGTGCAATTAGTGAAGCATGTAATTAGTCGATTGACAGAACACTCACTGATAACATCCAAGTATATAAGTATTAACTAATAGTATTATGTCATTTATTGCTACTTTTTCACTGCTTTCTGCATCTTAAACTTGAATATTTCCTAAATTGAAAATCTTTTTTAAAAATGTTGTCATGTGGACTTGATGTGGATCTGTTGATTACATTCACATTACTCCAATAAAGTAATAGCAACCTTGATGTGCAAAAAGGACATACAGTGGGGCAAAAAAGTATTTAGTCAGCCACCAATTGTGCAAGTTCTCCCACTTAAAAAGATGAGAGGCCTGTATACCTCAACTATGAGAGACAAAATGAGAAGAAAAAAAATCCAGAAAATCACATTGTCTGATTTTTAAAGAATTAATTTGCAAATTATGGTGGAAAATAAGTATTTGGTCAATAACAAAAGTTCATCTCAATACTTTGTTATATACCCTTTGTTGGCAATGACAGAGGTCAAACGTTTTCGGTAAGTCTTCACAAGGTTTTCACACACTGTTGCTGGTATTTTGGCCCATTCCTCCATGCAGATCTCCTCTAGAGCAGTGATGTTTTGGGGCTGTCGCTGGGCAACACAGACTTTCAACTCCCTCCAAAGCTTTTCTATGGGGTTGAGATCTGGAGACTGGCTAGGCCACTCCAGGACTTTGAAATGCTTCTTACGAAGCCACTCCTTCGTTGCCCGGGCGGTGTGTTTGGGATCATTGTCATGCTGAAAGACCCAGCCACGTTTCATCTTCAATGCCCTTGCTGATGGAAGGAGGTTGTCACTCAAAATCTCACGATACATGGCCCCATTCATTCTTTCCTTTACAGGGATCAGTCGTCCTGGTCCCTTTGCAGAAAAACAGCCCCAAAGCATGATGTTTCCACCCCCATGTTTCACAGTATGGTGTTCTTTGGATGCAACTCAGCATTCTTTCTCCTCCAAACACGTCTAGTTGAGTTTTTACCAAAAAGTTCTATTTTGGTTTCATCTGACCATATGACATTCTCCCAATCCTCTTCTGGATCATCTAAATGCTCTCTAGCAAACTTCAGACGGGCCTGGACATGTACTGGCTTAAGCAGGGGGACACATCTGGCACTGCAGGATTTGAGTCCCTGGCGGCGTAGTGTGTTACTGATGGTAGCCTTTGTTACTTTGGTCCCAGCTCTCTGCAGGTCATTGACAAGGTCCCTCCATGTGGTTCTGGGATTTTTGCTCACCGTTATTGTGATCATTTTGACCCCACGGGGTGAGATCTTGCGTGGAGCCCCAGATCGAGGGAGATTATCAGTGGTCTTGTATGTCTTCCATTTTCTAATAATTGCTCCCACAGTTGATTTCTTCACACCAAGCTGCTTACCTATTGCAGATTCAGTCTTCCCAGCCTGGTGCAGGTCTACAATTTTGTTTCTGGTGTCCTTTGACAGCTCTTTGGTCTTGGCCATAGTGGAGTTTGGAGTGTGACTGTTTGAGATTGTGGACAGGTGTCTTTTATACTGATAACGAGTTCAAACAGGTGCCATTAATACAGTTAACAAGTGGAGGACAGAGGAGGCTCTTAAAGAAGAAGTTACAGGTCTGTGAGAGCCAGAAATCTTGTTTGTTTGTAGGTGACCAAATACTTATTTTACCGAGGAATTTACCAATTAATTCATTAAAAATCCTACAATGTGATTTCCTGGATTCTTTCCCCCCATTCTGTCTCTCATAGTTGAAGTGTACCTAGGATGAAAATTACAGACCTCTCTCATCTTTTTAAGTGGGAGAACTTGCACAATTGGTGGCTGACTAAATACTTTTTTGCCCCACTGTACATGCATTCAAAAGAAACTCATATCATTTAAACTGCACAGTGGGCTTTAAAACCTTCTATCTATTGGTAATTGTAATCCCTCTTTGTCATCTGAGGTTTTATGATTACATTTTAGCTTTATTTGTGTTTGAATGTCTAAGTGTAAATATGATGATGTGAACACCAGCAGTGTCGGGCTGTGCTTGAGTTTCAAAGCTTGTCCCCTCACCTCTTGCGGGGCTGCAGTGCTGCGCGCTTGGCCAGTAGGGATGGAGGGTACTGGTCGAACAGGTCCTGGGCCTGGCCAATCAGAAGTTCGTATGGGAGGTCCTGGGGGATGCGGGAGAGGAGGTGGTGGACCATGGCCATGTCACACTCAGTCTTCTTCACCTCCTTCTCTCTGTGTAACACAATCTGATGAGGAAAAAGAGGGGTTGAAGTCTTGTTTAAACCCTAAAGCTGTGCACTTTAGTTAACCCTGGAGCAGACGTGGATTAGATTCTGCAAACTGGATAGCTTTAGTGATACAAGAGAGGCAGAATGAGCACTCAGCAGATAAGGAGTTAACCCCCCATGCTGTGCGCTGTACTCAGCCTTGGAGGAAACATGAACTACATTCTGCTTTGTTGTTTCACACACTTCAAACAGAACTTTTCCTCTGCCCAGCCACTACACACGCACACAAATCGCAAATACTAGATCATCCTCAAATGCAAATGAGCAATATGTGCACAATTGTGATTTACATGCAAAAAAAATCCTACTCAGACTCGAATAAACCCCATAAATACATAAAGCATGCACACACAACATATAAACATTTTAATAATTAACACATATTCAATCATACATGCTCCAGCAGTAGAACAACAGTTGGTGTTGTTTTAACCCGAGTGAAAAAAGTCACAAACATAGAAATGCTTTCCCTTTGTAATTCTTGTTCCATCCTTTCAGTCAAACATCAGTCAGCCCTCCTTGTTATTCTGTTTCCTGATGCAGTCTTCGTCCTTTTCCTTCACTTTCCCCTTTTATCTCGCCCTCTATAACACTGTCTCTCACCCTCTCATCCGTCTAATTAACTTGACTTCACAGCACTCTGCCTTTCCGTGTGCAGACGTATAGGAGGGAGTGAGTTAGTTAGTGTGCTGCAGCATGTATTTGCATGTAAGCATCCTGGGTTTCTGACAAAATTGAGACCCTGCCTGTTGTTCATTTCCTGTTGGCTACAATGCCTTCTTACCGTAGCAGCGAGGTAGATGGGCATCAGAGGGTGTGAGGCCAGGAAGAAGTCGTAGAGTCTCATGGTGTGTTTGAAGTCTGACAGCACGTGGCCGTACCATGTGATGAGCCAGGACAGGGCGAAGATGGTTCCCACCTCCGCTCTGAGAGGAAATGCAAAGAGATGTACACGTGAACAAACAAAGAAACACAAGCCATGCCTTCAATGTTTAGTTTTTTTTACTGTACAGCATTTATTGAACCAGATTAACAATCTCTGTCTACAATAAACTGGCCAAAATAAACATCAGTAGCAAACGTAAACTGATAACATCAAATAGCTTACAATAGCAGATCTAAATAAAAATGCAGATATAAAATCACAAATATAATTTATAGAATGAATAAAACGAATATAGGCAGATTAAACCATTTGCTAGGCAGCTAGTAGCTTGATCAAAATTCATCACAAAGTTCAAGTCTTTCTTTTTTTTTTACTCTAATCAAAAATGAATAAAAAAGTAATGGCTGTGTAGAAGGCAGGAAGTCATTTTGAAAAGTAATGATACACTCAATGGTGTGCGGTATACAGTAGGGCTGCTCAATTCATCGTATTTTAATCGCGATTACAATTATGGCTTGCAACGATTACGAAAACAACGTAATCGAAATAAAACGATTATTTTTCTATTATTATTATTACTTTTTCTTCTTAAAATGATCTTTTTTTTTTTGGTTTTTCAGTTGAATTATACTTAAAGTTCAGGGTAATCAACTGTTAAAAAAAAAAAAATTCTCCAATAAATGAATGTTTTCAAAGTCAATGAATAATCGCATTTAATAATCGCAATTACAATTATTGACCCAAATAATCGAGATTATGATTTTTGCCATAATCGAGCAGCCCTAGTATACAGTATAAGTCATTTGTTGTCAGTGGGATGAAATGATAACCATGTACTGGTATGATCCAGCTAAACTTTGCCAAAAACCATGAAATAGGGTTCTCACGTAAGAAAGAATTATAAAAATGGACTAAGCAGAGAGGCTGAGATAATGTGTATTTACCCCCTACTGTGGTTCAAGCTTCACCACTGGATCCAAATATTCCCCATTGCATTTTTGGTTAAAACTCGCTGAGAAACGGCAAGACTTTTTAAAACATTTTCTTTAAAAAAAAAAAAAAGGTATAAATGCACCTCAATAGCCACAGCACACATCAAACACCATTAGCAATACTTGAACTGTTAACTCATCTACCTGAGTCTGGCTCTCAGCGAGGGTCTTGAAACATTAGCTTGCAAGACTATGACATGACCACAGAAATGTCCAAAGAATTAGCCTCATACGTTTTGGAGCAAAACACATTTTTCTCACACCGTTTATAAACCATCCAATGTTCTTCCCCTCTCTCTTTGTTGTGTGCAGATATAAATAGCTGGTTAGTTTTGACAGAATTTCAAGTAAATTGGATACTCTTAGCAGTTGTTGATACATATTAGATAGGAACATTCAGTGAGGAAGAAGAATGAGTACAAGGAAACTGAAGGAGTGACTAGCGGAAATAAGTAGGTGGGAATGATGGACAGGGGAGGGGTAAACAGACAGAGCAAAGGGCAGAGAGCATGTGTGATAAGAGGAACATAAAAGAGATAACATGAAATTGGAGCAAGAGAAAAGGGAAAGCAGAAAGGAGATAAGAAGCCAGGTAAGGAGAAGTGGAGGTGCTCACAAGAAAGAGTGTTCCAAACTTTGAAGTCGGTGTTGTTTATCCTGCCAGTGCAATGTCTGTTTTTTGGATCATTTTTCTGTTTGTGTGAGCTTGTAGATAGATCTTTAATTTTGTCATTGTACAGGTACAACGAAATTACAATAAACTCAAGGTGCCAACACGCAACATGCGAGTAGATGGGTCATCTGCAAAAAGGGAGGTTGACAGCACAACATCAATTATGAACAGGCAACAAGACAGCAAAGGTACTGTAGACACACACAGGCAAGCACACACATATCCCTCCACACATCAAATTACCTTTGAGGACGATCCAATGACTCCCAAACATCCCAAATCATAGTCCTCAATATACACCTCAACATGTACCTACAGTCATCCTATATCGGTAAAAAGCTTTTTGTTGTTTTTTCGATAAACTGCATAAATATCATGAATCATTTTATGGCTAATTACGCCTCACAAATAAGGGTAAATGTGATGCACACCTTGGTGGGACAGGAAAGCCTCTGAAACAGCTGTTGGACCATCTGACAGAACTCCCAAAAGAGAACACTACTGATGCATTTTCAATTGAGTTTCAATTCAAAAACCACAAACTCACTCTTTGTCTCTGTGTGAATCTCACAGGTGAAAATCAACACGTGGATGCCCTCTAGTGGTAACATTACATTATGTCCAAAATGACTTCCATTAAATCCATTCAAAATCAGAATAAGAGTTAGATATATTTTTGTTTGAAGAAATTATAAGTAAAGTACAAACGCAAACTCTGTGTGTGTGTGTGTGTGTGTGTGTGTGTGTGTGTGTGTGTGTGTGTGTGTGTGTGTGTGTGTGTGTGTGTGTGTGTGTGTGTGTGTGTGTGTGTGTATGTGTGTGTGTGTGTGTGTGTGTGTGTGTGTACCTGATCATGAAGTCATGTAGTTCTGTATCAACTTGTTCCAATATAGGCATCAGGTAGTTTAAAATGTGTTTAGTGCTGTCCATGGTAGGATCCATGAAATCCCTACAGAAAAAACAGGCAGGTTACATCAATAGTACTGCTAAGCATGTGTTGATAAGGTTGGTTAATTTGATACAGTAAAAAAGAAAGAAGGTTGCAGATTTAAATGAATAACCCATCAGCAAAATGCCCCTTCTCATCAAAAAGAAATAAACAGATATCTTCAGGATCCTTAAGATTGTCGCCTTTAAAGTCGATTAAAATGCATATATAAATGGATTGATTCGAGAAAAAGATATCAACCTGAGATGGTGATTGGACAGAGTGTCCAGCATGGCGATGGTCATCCGCTCCCCAACCACCAGCAGCAGAGTGACCGCCACATCATGGTAGCCTTGGTAGTAATGGAGCTGGGGGGTGTGTTTCAAAACCTCCAGTATGATGTCAATCATCTGCTCCTGAAGCACAGCTCTCTCTGAGGCGCGCATACCTGAGGGAGAGCCAGGAATCATTATAAAATAAAACCTTCACAGAAAAAACACCCTAAAGGAAAGCTAACATTCATGTGATTGTCATTTTAGTGAATGGTTCAAAATAAGTTATCTAACTCTTGTCTGACTGCTTGTGAACAACAGTTTGAAAAAGAACTAACACAGGTAATAAAAGGTTTTTTTATGTTATTTAAATTAGACAGTCTTAATGAGATCAGAATATATTTTCCTGAGAGAGACCTGAGAATAAGAACAGGATTTGCTTGTGCGTGTGCTTTAAACTTGAAGTTTAATTTCCTGTAACAGCAAAATTACATAAATTGTAGTGTAGCAGCTTAGTAAACAGAAAGGGATCAACTATATTAAGCATCTAACACTCTAAGTCCAGCTTTCCCTCATTCCATGCAGCTTTTTTCAGTTTCAAAAAATGTGTTGCTTCCTCTTATCCTGAACTGACAGCCTCGCTTCTAGATAAGACACTTTTCTCTGTTGCTTTCCCAACTTCCTGATGTTGGCTGACAACACAGGCGTCTTGTGACATAAGAATGTTCCCTGTTGCAGCTTTTACTCAGTTCATTAATTATTAAGCCTTGCCAGATATGTTGCTCTAAGTACAGGGGTACGGTGTGTTGAATGGCACTGTGAGCAATGCTGCTATCTTTAAAGATAAAACAAACACACAGACACACACATACACACACCTTTAGGGAACCGCTTCATAGACCTCCTGACATCAAGGACTACTTGGTTAAAGTCCTTGTGGTTTTCCCTCACATCTCGACCTATGAAGAAAGAAGATATTATTATTGTTGTCGGTGTAGACATGTAGAATGTATTCCTACACCCTAAATATGAGTCAGCATTTACTCACTTCCGATTCCCTTTTGTCATAGTCAACACGTTTTTATTGGGTTTAAAGCCAGATAGGTTTTATTTTATGACATAAAACATGTCAGGTAATCCTCACTTTAACTTGTCTTTAAAAAACGTGGTTGCAGACAAGTCCCTAAATTACCAGAGTTTGTCTGGAACATTATCTTTTCTTATTTTAGTGGTGGTGATGTTAAAGTCATGCAACCGTGGTGAAGTTGTGAAGCCTAAAAATAGCTTTTTACTGAACTTCTTGCCACTGCATTAAGGCTTGAAAAAGAATCCTATAAGTGGTGTTCATTTGTTTAGAAAATCTTTTCTGCTATATTCCCAAACTTTAGGGAAAGATTTTTATTTGATTGTTGTCGAAGGAACCAGAGGAATGCTAACTTCCAGGTTATGTCATTCCTGCATTAGTCTATTAGTAAGAGTGACAGAATTATGAAGTATCATGTCGTATAATTCAACCCAGTTCATATGAAAATAAACCACTAACCAGGTTTATGAGGCAGATCGTACACATTGATGTTCAGTAGTTTGGGCCAGACCTTCCTCCTCAGTTCATCGGTGAGCAGCCCTCCCTTACTGCCTGCTGCCCTCCTCAGGGTCTCAATGTCCACTGGATCACTGGGAGTTCAAAAGTCAGAATTGGACATTGTTAAGTGTGATGCTTTTCTGATCTGCTTACACAGCAAACGTATTTTCCAGTCATCAAAAGTTAGAGGCGCTAAATATTATCAATAGTGTCCGTCGCAGAAATACTTACTTCAGGAATAAAGTTGAAATGTCTTTGATTCAAGTAATAATACATGTATGTATATGAAACTAAGCAGGATGTGAAACTAAATTACTTAAATAAGTATGTTTATGCAGAGCAGGGTTAGCGTAAATTGTAGCGGGTCAATCATTCTTTCACTTTTTTCACTTCCACGACACACCATTTGAAAATTATGTTATGATCAATTTCAAGACAGACAAATTCCATGTATTTTTCACTGTTATTGTTTTTCTACTGGGACAGAAGTGTGTCCGCATGTCTTGGCTGAATGGACAAAGAATACTTTTGTTTATTGCAAAATAAGAGTGATGAAGGTCAATGTCTACGGATAGATGCATACCATCTAATTGTGGAACAGCATGCAGTAAAGGGAGAGGCTTGTGGAACGGAAGCTCCCAAAAAGCTTTAGATGTCTACAAAACAGACAGATTCTTAGGGGAAGCTATTGTGGGAATTACACCTAATGTGCTGGGAAAACCTTAACACCCAGTGTGTTTTTATAAAATACAGTCAGAGTAATTATGTTGTATTTTATCACCAGATCAACAAAACCACAGGATGTTTGGCTTACTGAGGCAAACTCATGGGAGGTAAATAATACATCCTAATGATGCCATTCAAGCAATAATAATGAGAACATATCCATAACAAGCTAAGTGCAACTGGTATTTGTTACATTACTTGATCAAAGCCTGATGGATCTCAGCTAACTTCTGTTTCCTCCCACAATCTGGCTCTGCAACAGAGAGACAGAGAAAAGGGATGAGAGGCAGAACGATTTGGAGAGGAAGATGAAGGAGAAAAAAGAAGAGGAGGGAGGAGGAGACCATGTTTGAGTTATAAATAGAAGCTAGCAATCATATGCATGGAACACACATACAGATATAGACACATAATAAAACACACATGGCGTTTCTTTAATGGATTGCTTTAGTTTCTTACGTGAAAACCATGCCATTATAATGACTGATCATAAAGAGTCAAACATGTGACAGTACAGTAGTTAAGTGATTTGCAGCCAGCGAGTATGGATCAAATGAAAATAAGATATGAGAGTTTGAATTACTTGACGGGTCAAACCAAAACCCAGTGTTAAATGATGGCATAGCTATCTTTGTTTGTCTGTTTACGTATGTTCTGTTTTAGAGACAGTGAATGATGACACAACCATGTCCAACTTCCTCTGTCTGGCAAACAGCAGTATTGTCCAAGTTGGCAGACATGCTGCCACGCAGGCACTACTGTCAGATATGTTGCCAATGTTTACTTTGACAAGATTGTAAACAAATGTACAACCGGAGATTAGAAACCATGTTAGAAACAGGTTAGCACAACATCGGACACATCGTGATTCATGACTTGAATGGCTGGCTAGTAATAGTATTAAGTTCACTGCCATTTCTCCAACTGCAGCCAGAGCAGGTCACGTTTCTGTCTGTAAGCTACAAGTTAGCCTACGGTGGATCAATATAGTGTGTGTTTTAATATGCAAACTATCTTGTGTGGCTTGTCTGTATGTATGTATGTATGTATGTCTTTATTAGACACGTTTATGAAACACTACCTAGCTAACTATCTGATAGTTGACTCACCTCTTGTGACAGATCCATTCCCATTCACCTCAACTCCTGCGTTTTGTTTCTTCTTTTTGAGCCTGTTCATGCCTTTAAAAGCTGACAACCTAATAACAAAGTTTGTGTTGAGCCATAGACCGATTTACAAATAAAAAAGATACCTCCGAACAGGTAAAAACACTGACCAAAGTTAGCTATACGTTAAACGTTTCTCTCAACAGCTGTCTCTCAAAGAATCAACCTAACGAGACAATCAGGCTACGCTCCAATTGGGCAGAATTGACACGTGACATGTACTACGAATGCCATTGGCTCCTTACCGACTCGCACTGCAAGCTGACTTGACTGTAGTTTTGTAGTTCTGAAATTTGAGCAATAATGAGCTGTTTGTTTTATGTTTATGTTTCAAACGCAATTGCTCAATTAAAATGTTGTAAGTGACACAATTACTTACTTTGAACGCATTCCTTTTTCTCAAGGCAACAGTACATCTTCATTTAGCAGCTGTTGGGTAAATTGTTATTATTTTTGACACAACTAGCCTATGTCAATATATTTACACAAAGCATGATGTGTGGAATACTTTTAGTTGTTTCATCTCTCCCTGAAAGAGATAATTAATTCATAAAATGAATAGGCTGTTCACAGTAATGAGAAAAGACAATGTCACTTATATTGAGCACTTCCTAAATCCTACATGTGGAACAAAAGAAAACACAATTATTACATCAGTTTAAATGTTCAATATACATATGTAATTTTAATTTTAAACTGTTGAATTTGAAATCAATAGAATTGATTAAAGTGCAGTGAGGCTGCTTTATGCATACATGGACTTGCATTTGAGTTATGAACATAGCCATAGTGTTATGTCAGAATGCCAGTGATGTGATTTTACAAATTAATTTCCTTTCTGGTAACTTACAAACTGCTAACAGTAGCACATAACAACCCTTTCTATGGCCAACAAAAACAACACATTTTATATTTAAACACATAAACAGACAACAATTCTACTCCTCACCTGTTTCAAAAGTATTTCTAGGAGGACTATGGGTTAGTCCAGCATGGGACCCCACTTTCAATTTGCTCCTATACTGTATACCCTATGTATTAGCCCTTGTAAGATCAGGTCTTCATTAATTGATTGATGAAGTTAAAAAGTAGTTTGTAATTTAGTTTGAGAGACTAACCTTAATTTACAAAGACTCCCCTGACCTATATCATTCTAATGTTTATATACATATATATTCAATAGATAATACAATAAATACAATATAAATAGATGAATAAGCTAATATTTCCTGTATTTAAGTCTGTCGAATAATGATGGGGCCTTTAATTGTTGAGGCGGGGCTAATAGAATCACGTCTTGAATCTACTATATCTTTGTTATGGCGAATATATCATGTTTTACAATAATATTTTAGATAATGCTGATACAACACTATAATACATCCATGGGATATTACCCAGTACATTTCCGTTTTTGTATACGGAAGTGGATTGAGTAGCGTAGATTTGGATTTTTCTTGAAAGGGGGATGTCAACACCGACGTGGCAACCTTAATGACAGCAGTAGTGGTGATGAAACGCCTAATCATAACCTCTCCACTCTCCGGACATGCTGGGACTGATCTCTGCGCTCTGGATGTGACCCTCCGGATGATAACAGAGAAACCCGAGACAGCCAGAGAAGCAGTGATGTCAGGCAGGTAAAAACGGTGTGATTTGACCATAGGATTTAACCCGCTGAAATGAGCGAGAGAGCCGAGATGAAAGGGCCCGTAACCCGCAGGAGGAGGACCACCATCACCGGCAGCGGACCGGTGAAACAAGCCAACGGGAGCAAGAGTCACGATGCCGGGGAGAAACCTCCACAGAGCCCCGGCGCTGAAGCCAAAACAGACGTTGTGTCCATGCATCCGAGTAACGGGAAGCCGGACAGAGAGATGGGGGCTTCGGAGCAGCAGCTCCCACACAGTCCGAGCAGAAAACACATGAGTGTGGTGGAGGAGTTTAACGAGAGACTCAGGTAACCTTTTAATACTTGAATGACGTTATGTGTCATTACTCATTAAGGTTGAACGTTTGTATAAAATCTGCGTTTATTTTGGATTTCCTTTTGCTGATTGCCATTTTTTGTGCCAGTTTATTATGATTGTCCTTTTCATTTATTCATTGTCCATGAACAGCTATTATTTGACATTTCATTTTCCTCCTCCATCTAAATATGCCAGAGTTAGCTATGAGTTTATTATCATTTGTAGTCAGGGGCGCCGCCAGGGATTTTGGGCCCCATGAAAATATATCACATTGGGCCCCACCACCAGGCACAGGCCACTTTGTTTATAAATTACCTCGAGGGCCGTACCAAATGGTCTAGCGGTCCTTATACGGCCCGGGGGCCGGATGTTCCCCACCCCTGCTTTAATATAATAACATTAGTATAAATATCATAACCAAAATGTCTGTGATTAACATTTTGTTTACAGACTGATCACTCAATGCTTCAAACTGTCCATCATCCTAAATAGACTAAAAGCAGTTTTTTGTTTTATATAGATCATTGGCTATGTGGGAAAATACTGTGTTTGAAATGTATAATTTAAATTAGATGTTAGCTTTTTGTTATATATATATATATATATATTGTATTCCAGTCTCCCTTCAGATATGTTAAGTGGCATGTCATTCAACACAATGCTGCTCACCTCCTTCAGTTGGGAGAAAAGCTGGTTCAGGTTCAGCCTTATGGGGGGACAGGGCTGCTGAGCCTAAAGATGGATCTGTTGGTCCTGGCACCAGGGGGAGGGACAACTGATTTAGTATGAATAGGCGCTAAAAATGTGCCTGCATTTATTAAAGGTAGGTAGGTAAGAATGGAGAAACCAGCTCGACTGCGCTAGAATTTGAAAGTATATATGGAGTCAGATTTGGGTCAATATTCTCGCGCGTAAAACAAGCTACTCACGAGCGGAAAATGTGCTTTTACACGCGCATAAAATGACCCTCGCGCGCAGATTAAACCCCCGCGAGCGGCTCTGCGCCCGCGAGCGGCTCTGCGCCCGCGAGCGGCTCTGCGCCCGCGAGCGGCTCTGCGCTCGCTCGCGAGAGAGACAGCCCTCTTGCTTGCTCGCGGGAGTGTCAGCCTCGCGGAGTCTGTCTACGCGCGCGTGAAAAGTTTCTGGCACTTTGGGGCGGAGCCACTGGACTTTGATTGACAGCTGCCAGGAAATCCGGGGTTGCCAGGTTTGATAAATGCCTGAACTACCAAGAGCCGAGCAGTGACGGCAGCAAAATCTAGGTGCGTACAGCAGACAGTAGCTAGCAGTTTTCGACGGACACAGCCCACTGACAAATATATTGTTTTATATCAAATTAATGTATATTACATTACATTACATTGCATTTAGCTGACGCTTGTATCCAAAGCTACTTACAATAAGTACATTCGACCAGGAAGACACAACCTTGAAGAAAACAGAATCATATATATATATATATATATATATATTAGCTGTACACTTTACGAATATAATAGCTTTTTATGGACAACTTTACCATTCAATCTCGTCCAACTGATTTTGCTGCCGTCACTGCTCGGCTCTTGGCAGTTCAGGCATTTATCAAACCTGGCAACCCCGGGTTTCCTGCCAGCTGTCAATCAAAGTCCAGTGGCTCCGCCCCAAAGTGCCAGAAACTTTTCACGCGTGCGTAGACAGACTCCGCGAGGCTGACACTCCCGCGAGCAAGCAAGAGGGCTGTCTCTCTCGCGAGCGAGCGCAGAGCCGCTCGCGGGCGCAGAGCCGCTCGCAGGGGTTTAATCTGCGCGCGAGGGTCATTTTATGCGCGTGTAAAAGCACATTTTCCGCTCGTGAGTAGCTTGTTTTACGCGTGAGAATATTGACCCAAATCTGACTCCATGGTACACAACCGAAAAAAATCTGCCCCTTCCTTCAGAGTTCCCTCCTCCAACACACACATGACCAATGAGGGCACGTGCACAGATGGAAGGCTGACAGGTAGGTAGGCCATCCAGTCATTTTTGCCGGGCCAGCTCAGATGATTGGTCGTGCTTTTTACAGCGCCACGGCTTCCACAGATGACATTTTTGTATGTATTTATTGTCAAAGCATTTAATATATTCATTGCTATCGGGATGTTAAGAGCATTCCATGGAATGAACAAAAAGTGTTTCTGAAGTGAATTACCTACCATACCTTTTAAATATCAGCTAAAAGAGCAGTGAAATGAAAGACCTCTGAATTGTCTGTAAAGATATTAACAGTACTTAATGTCAGCTTAGTAAACAAAAAAACATTAGCTAACAGACTCATTTCCACCACTCATGGACCACACCCACCTTTTCTTGTGAAAAACTGGGTGACATACTGTCGCCCTTTAGTCCCTCTTTCTTGTCTTTCTCTCCTTTCTCTTCTTTTCTTAGAGCCTGACTTTGTTGGTCGTTGAGACATGGTACAACACACGTATGTAGGCTAAGTACTAGCATCCCTCCTCACATGCTTTCACTCTCTTTTGGAAGAAAATAAGTTAAATGAATCGTAAGTTTAGTGAGTACTTTATCAATATAACGTTATATTAATGTTAATTATTGAGGATTGATGAAAGGTTACTTACATTTGTTTTCTTAATGTTCTGAACATTTTGGGGCCCCTGTCAGTCACGGGCCCTTCGAATCGTCCTAACTTTTCACCCCCTTACCCCTGTTTGTAGTCTTTGGGCAGGCTATTACAAATAGTGGCCTAATACAATACAGTGCTGCATATAAAATGACACAAGCAGATTCATAAACAATGGAATATCAACCTTAGATCATTCCAACAATGATAATAAAATAACTTTATTTGTATAGCACATTAACAATCTGAGTTTACAAAGTGTTTAACTTTTGACTGACATAAGTCAAAAAGTTAATACAACTAAATAAAGCCAAGCTAATAAAGGTTTAGTTACGTGTCACCTTGTACATCATTTGTTTAGGTTAGAAGAGTGGAAGCATCTCTAGATGCATTTTCATATTAAACCAAGTATTTATGCGGGTGTATTTTTGTAATGTTAAGAAAGGTATACATTAAGCAGCCCTTCTTGAGATGACACTTTGACTTTATAAAAGATGGAGAGGCTAGCTTTAAGTTTAAATACATGTCAAAAAGTAGGTAGTACGCATGAGTTAGAACAGATATTGTGATAGAAGACACAATAGCCTGACCTTTACCCAGATATGTCCTCCTCACCTTTGATACATTGCATTGTTATAAGAAGGAAGCCACTCTGTCTTATTGTTGTAACCAAGTTGCTGGCTGGTGTTCAACAATATATTTTGCAGTGTAAGATATAAACATTGGTAACCTTGGGCACTAAAGTGATGCAGCCATAATATGGAAATGAATTGATTGTAATTCACATTATAGTCCTGAGTAATACTTTCCTGTGTTACAGTAGCAGTGAGTCAACAAAGGCATATGTGCTTCAGCAATCCTTTGAGGAACCCTTCTACTCTTTCCTCTCTTTAAATGCTAATTTTCTTCCTTCCTTCCTTCCCTCAAATCACTCATGTCTCTTAACCTCATATTCTCCTCTGCTTCTCCACATTACGTTCCTCCTCTTCCTTTATTTTCAAGTTCTCCCTCCTACTGTTTGTTCTTTACTTCTTGCTCCCTGTTTGCCTCTCCCTTGTCATTCACTTCTGCTCCGTTATCTCAGTCACGTGGGGTTGTGTAAAGAATTCTTGCCTGATGAATAGCCTCAGTTTTCACAATGAACTTTGGACAATTTGGTCAGTACATTTAACCTACATTTTCACAACTCCGCCAGTGCCTGGTGCATTTGTAGGACTAAGTTGGTTTGCACAAACAATGTGTCTTTGTGATTTGGTGCATAACAAGAAACATAATGTGAAAGTAAAGAGATAACATAAAATACAACTCTATATAATAGAAAATAAATACCTATAACGTAGATCTGTTTTAGGTGGGCCATCATTACTGTCCTCTCAAATCATGAATTGATTTGGGAAGAAACTTTGTTTATAAACCTGTTTAATGTAAACATTATTCCTTCTTCATAAAAGTTAATTTCTATTATAGAATGTTCAATTAAAGAATCAAGATGCAGTTGAATGTATATTAATGGAGGTATGAGAGCAACTTGAGGGACGTTACCAAAGATTTCATCCCTGAGCCTGTGTAGGTAAACAGACAGAAAGGAATTTAAAGAGCTTGATTAGCCCTAAACATTTCTACCTTGTCAATAAAACTGTTGACTTTGTGTTTCCACGTAGCTGTCACGTCCTCCAGGAGTCTCTCTTAAGTTCAGCCAGTGGCTACAGCAACTACAGAGGAATCCTCAACTGGTGTGTTGTCATGCTGGTGAGTCAAACTGCGTGTGCATTCAGGACTTAAAATGTACTTTCAACTTTTGAGCAATGTAAACCATGACTAAATATTAAACCTCTTGAAATTGAAATGTTTGTGGAACCAAACAAATACCTCTAAATGAAAACATGCTTTGACATGCACTCAATAATTGTCTCTTTCATGTCTTTACATTACCCCAAATTACTGTTTGTGGCCTTTTGTAGCTGATGTTCTTCACATTATCATAAAAATAGCCAGTTGCATATCCTTCTATTTGTCACTCTCTCTTTCTATTAGTCTTTCTCACACAAACGCATGTACAGTATATCATAGCAGCACATATAACTGAGGCACAGGTTATATATGTCATTGCTTTAACAACAGAATAAGAATTGCCAGTCCGCACTAACTAGTCCACACTAAACAGTCACACTCTCAACTGTTTGAGTTGTCAGATAAGTCGTTTTTGTTGTATCTCTTTACATTTGTAGATCCAGCACATGATATGCATTCACATTTTTCTTTCTTTTCATTACTTTCTTGTTTCTACAACCTTGATCAAAATTGTTGGTGGTGGTGGTGGGTGGATTATTCATAGTTTAATACCAGTGAGTTTACTTTGAAAAGTATATTGAGCGTTCACTCTCAGCAGAAGTTGACCTAATGTCAGCTGTTCATGTATTTAGGGTGTTCTGATATACCTGCAGTGAAAATAACAAAGATTGAAGTGACAGACACGTTAAGCACACATTTAATAAAAAGGTTAATATAAACACATGAAGGGAGTTTTCTATGGTTGCATGACAGATGATTTTAGGCTGAAAAATATGAAGCATCTCTGAACACATACAAATACTGTGTATGAAGGGTTAAACTAAGTATCATCTCTAATTTGACCTATGTCCATCAGTATTATATGCTTTCAATGTTAAATCCTTGTTTTTAATAACATTTTAACATCCCTCACAAGCCTGATGGATGTTTCCTAGACCTAGAGTATCTCCTGATTGACCAATGAAGTTGGTTCTTGTTTTTAAATTAAAAAATAAAACATGATCCCTAGAGATTATTCTTTTAGCAGGGACGTTCCTATTTATAGCCCCGAAAAAAAAGCCAGTGTGCATGACACATCTTTAGCAAGTACAAATCGTAATCATGATGTGAAGATTAACTTGAAAACAGAAATATACCTATTTGCAAATGACATGATACATGGTACATGATACATGGTACATGACAAGCACTCTAAATGAAATGTAAAAAATGGCATAATTCGCTACAGATGTGCAGCTGCTGTTTAATGTTGAAGATGCAGTGGGAAATAGGCCAGTTTCAGGATGTACTGTGGTCTGTATCATCTACTGTATGTCAGAGACTCTAGTTGTGGCTGTGGCTTTTGTACCTTAAAGCAAAACTTAAATATTAGTTAATGTGAGACCTTTAACCAAGTTGCACACCCTATGTTAGGGACACATGCTGGAGACCTTTAGTCCGTCCTTTGGGGGTCTTCAATGTTGTGTTGAAATACTGATCTCAGTCGTATCACAGCCAAATATGCCCCCCTGGGCCGAGGTCACTTCAGGACAACAAGTTCTTTTTCAGAACAAAATGGCTAAATTCAAGTGTGTGTGTCTCCAAAGGCGCCCTCTGAACATCCAATCACCGCTAGTAGTCTGATACACGTGGAGGATACAAATATCCAGTTAGCCATAATCCTAAAGAAATTGAAAAAGGCATCTCATCTAAGCCTTAAACTTGTGTGTATTTCCAGTTTTTTTTTTTCTAAATCAGGTCTATGTTTACACTTCTGTGACAGGATTAATTCCATCTATGAAAGTTTATATTGCTGTAACGACCACGGCCTCTACTTTGTGGTCACAAGAGACGGTTGTCTCCGCTCGGTTCAGACTGTTTTTAGGAAGCCTCTAGGATTAGACTTTAAGAGTGTAAAGTGGAACCACAGAGACTTGTGGGTGTGTGCATTTACCAGCTTAGTCCTCCATAACCAGAACCCTCGTCTAATTTCCTAAAATGTCAGCTGCAGGGGCACATGCAGATGAGAGCGTTAATGTGTTGTACTTGTTATACTTCATTTAAACTCTCTGAATGCTGTAACCAAGTGTTTAGAAATAAAGCACTTCATTCACAACATTAACTTAAGGCGGTAGACAAAATAATAAAACAAGATAAATCCATTAGCTGCCTTCAGGACAGCTTTTAAATGGATAAAAGTATAAGCGTTACAGATGTTTACATTTGGTAACAGAGAAATCCATGAAAAGAGTGTGACCTCATTTGGATGTTCATGGAAGCACTTTTGAATCTGGTTTTCTAAAATGGCCTCATGTTTCCCATTTCTTACACAAGCCATTGTCAGAATGTAATGCCATATGAGAATGTCATACAGGATCCATGTTGTCCTTGGTCGACAGCCATAAACCTGTCCTTTTAAAGGTTTAAATACCTCACTAACAAGACACACGCACATTTAGATTGGTGCTTAAACATCTGTTCTAGCAAACCAACACAAACAGTGCTTTAAGATGCTGTTCATGCTTGTTCAGAAGGCATAAACATTATACAAAAAGGTAGTAAGACAGTGAAGATATTTGGGATAAGATGCAGTTTTGATACTTGACAATACAAATGATCATCCTGGATATGGTACAAGCAATTGATGCTGTATTGTTCCCATGCACAGCACTTTAACAGTTAGGACAGTGCATAGAACATCTAAATGTAGCGCCCATTTGCAGATTTTCTGAGCATACCACGGTTGTTAAAACAGATTACTGTCAACAAATAGTTTGGCCAGTTTCTTTCTACAACATTTATTTAACTATTAATACAGACTGCTGTTTATGGGGAACATGTCATTTGTATTGCTGTGTGTCAAAGGAAACCGTTTAATAGAAGCCCTCTGATGGAAAATGTTTGATGATTCAGTCATGGGGTGGTGGGGCGAAGTCGATAGGGACTTGGCTTGGCAACTGGAAAGTCACCAGTTCAAGTCCCGGCAAGACCAAGTGCTACCGAGGTGTCCCTGAACAAGGCACCGTTCCCCACACTGCTCCCCGGGCGCCGTTCAAAATGGCAGCACACTGCTCCTAACACAGGATGGGTCAAATGCAGAGAAACAATTTCCCCACGAGGGATTAATAAAAGTCCATCTTTTTCTTTTTGTTGGCCCCAGTCATCTCAGGTTAGCTTTCCATGGCAAGCTAAAGTTCAGCCAACCCCAGCAGCTCTTTCTATTTTTAAACTAACCCTCTACTATTCACAGGACACAGAGATGGCTTTTATTCAGACAGATTTTTATCAAAACTTTATCGTCTCCTTAATCTTGTTTATACAGTAACATAAATGTTTAGAAATATAAAACAGATTATTTAGATGAGTTGATTCTAAAGATTATGGATGTAGTCATAATTATCAATTTTAACATCTTATCATTGGTGTTTTATTACTGAAGAAATGTGTTTAGGATTTAAAATATAATAAGATAAGAAAAATTGACATCATATAAATAACCTTTGGGTACTAAAATATGTGATTTAACAATGCAATGGATAATCAATACATCTTTGAAAATAGGTTCCAGGACAAACTTCCAAACTGTGATAACGGCTCGATAGAAATGTTTTTAGTTGTTGTAGGTTCAGTTAATATAGGCTCCCCCCCCCGCTGAAGTGTCTTTGAGCAAGACACTGAGTTGCCTCCGTCTCCCGGTGTGTTGTTCTGTATCTGCCTTCGCACACTGACCTCTCTCCAGACAGGGACAACAGAGAAGACACATTTTAAGTGGAATTATTGCTAAATCAGATTTTGTAATGCTCTATAAATGCTCTGGACAGACCAGTGTCCCAACAGTCGTGTATTACATTGTGGTCAAGTCTTGTCCATGCTGAAGGTTACTAAGGCAAAGGTATCTGTTTTGGACAAAAGACGTGGGTCAATCAAAAGCACATTGCTGCAGGATCTTGGCAGAGCAGTGTGCTAAGTTGTAACATGCCACATTATCACCATGACCTTATCATGTGTCCCACCCTCACTGTCCCTTAAACTCATTGGCCATAACAATGATTTTTTTTAAATGAATACATGCTATACATACACAAGCATTTTTGGCTCTTTGTGGTTGGTAAGCTTTATCTAAGAAAGCTCAGATAACAGATGGACTTGGACCTTGACCTTTAATACATAATATAATGATAACTATTTTTACTTGACTGTTTTTAAGAGAAGGAGTTAAGCAGCAGGGTGTGACAGTTATCACGGTGTGATAGCAGCAGAAACATTTGTCTAAACACAGCTCTGATCTATGAAGGTGTTTGAACAGATTGTGTAGATATGAATATGTTACAGCTTGTTCTTGTGTGTTTTCTGGGCAGTGACTACCATCTTAAGTCAGAGATGTAAATGGGAAAATCCTCTTTCTGTGTTTGCTTTGAACAAAAACTCACCCTAATTCAGTGGTTCTCAAACTTTTTCTGTCAGGCCCCCCCTTTGGAGAAAAAAAAAAGTCGGGCCCCCCCAACACAAATAGTCAGGCTCAGTGGCGGCGCCAGAGATTTATTTTGGGGGTGCTGTGGGGTAGCTTGACGTTTCATAGAGGGTGCTCAAACATTTAGGGTTTCCCATTAATGTACCGGGCGCTACAGTGGAATTTTCTACTGCAACAATCCCCACGCAAATACACAATGGTCCCGCGACTGTTACAATGAAGGCTCGATAATCAGCTCACGGCATATAGGTGTAAGCAGGGGTAAAGTGCTATTTTTATAGGTGGTGTGTGCATGGACCTCACATAGGGGGGTCCGGGGGCAAGCTCCCCCGGGAAGATTTATTTTTAAATATTGAAGTTAAAAGCATCAATCTGGTGCACTTTGAGAGCAACATGGAGAGATCTATGGATACCTCTCTCAACACCCATTTGAAACAGAACTGTAAACAGATTTACTTTTTCTTTATGGATATTTTACAAATCATCCTTTTAAACTTTATTCTTTTTTTACTGTCATATAGTATTTCATACCTGTTTTTCATTTATTCTCTTATTTTTGTATAACTATAATGATCATATAAACGTGTGCCTCGGAAATAATTGTTTACATTAATGGTGACCAAAACGTTTGAGACCCACTGAGATAACACTGACAGAGTCCTTTAGCTCACTGAGTCTCTCAGTCTGACAGGAGAGGACTCTCCTCCACTTTGTTGTTGAAAAAGCTCCTTATATTCGTTAGCATAGCTCGCTAGCACCAGAAGCTAACAACAACGATCTCCAGTAGCCTACCGGTGCGCTCTCTCTCGCTCGTGCACACAAAATGGCTCGTTTCACACACACACACACACACACAGTCGAGCTTTAATGAAACACAGAGACCCAGATGTAATAGTACTGTACTGCATTATATTATTTTCGAATCAATAATTTTTCTAATTATGATTTTTTTTTTTTTATTATGATTTTTTTTTTTTTTTTTTATAACCATTTTTCCTCCTTGTCTCTCGTGCCCCCCCTGGCATGCCTCTGCACCCCCCAGGGGGGGCGCGCCCCCCACTTTGAGAACCACTGCCCTAATTGCACAAACAAATGCATTGAACCATATAGACTCCTCATTAGCAGAGCTGTGGCAAAAGAAAAATAATAAACCAGATTTTTAGGAGAAGGCTAGAAATACTTTTGGGGAAACAAATGCTAGATGCAATCAAAACAATTTAATAATTATTTTCATTAGCCGTTAATCTGCCAATTAGATTAGGTCAGAATCCTTTGGTCTATAGAATGCCAGAAAACAGTGAAAAAAGTTCAAAGTCAAAAGTCCAAGATGTTTTGTGAGCCACCTCCAAAAGATATTCTTTAATGTCATTATTTGCAAGGCTACGAACGTCATTTTCTGCTATTTTCTGATGAAAAACTAGCATTTAATCAATGATTAAAATGGTTGATTTACGATTATAGTTGATGGAACACAATGTAACATCAGGTTGAGTAGCTGACTAATCGTTTGAGCTCTTACTCTCTTTCAGGTGCTGAGCAATGCACGCCTATTCTTAGAGAACATTATTAAGTGAGTATACACACACACACACACACACACACACACACACACACACACACACACACACACACACACACACACACACACATATTTACATGTTGTCTTAGGTGTTGTCACAACCCACTCCCATTCAATTGAACCAATGGCCATCACTTCACCACTACTTTATTTTACATGTTTTCTATTAAATATAGATATAAAACAGTTGCTTTGCTAGCTGCCCATCCTAGAGGTTTCATTCCTTTCACTCTTACACCAAACGTTTACCTGAATGCACCTATCTTAAACCTTAAACAAACAAACATGTTTGCCTCCTATCTAAATAAGACCATTTCTAAATGATGCCTGGTGGTATTATTCATTTCATATGTTCTCTCTCTAATGTAGGTATGGTATCTTGGTCGACCCTATCCAAGTAGTGTCTCTCTTCTTGAAGGACCCCTATAGCTGGCCAGCAGCTTGCCTCATCATTGGTATGGAGCATTTTTTTACTGCCTCAATGTCAACATTTTCAACAGACCTTGAATGCCTCATAGCGATTTGTCCTTCTCTGACCTCAGGGTTGATTTTCTAGTTGAAGTTAGCAAACCTGTATACCCTGAATCTAAATCCAAGTGTTGTTGTTGAATGAAATAAATCATGCGTTATAGCCTCGCCATGTCCCAAATGGCTGATCTGATTCGGTATGTAATCACCGATTTAATGAGCCAGATGCTCAATGATAGCATATTGTGAGTGCCTCTCTTGGATTTTGTAGCATAGCTGTTATTAATTATTTACCCAAAGAAGGTTGATTCCAGACATTGTCTATTTGCTGACACCAGCCTCATAGTTGTCCTCAGCAGGCGCCAGTTCCTCCGTGCCTTTGTCTGTGTTAAATGGTGTTTGAGATGAGTTTGTAAATTCTGTGTTTCAGCGTCTAATGTGTTCATCCTAGCAACCTTGTACACTGAGAGGCGCCTGGCTGTGGTGAGTAATTACAATGATTTGCATATATTTTCCTAGTTTCAATTTATGGTAAATTATGGTTGGGTTTACAAATTAGTTTTGGTTTGTAACCCAGTGTATAAATAACCTTTTTTAATGATTCTGTAGAACATTTTGCTTCACATTTAGATGACCTGTTGGGAGAAAGTAGGTTTATTTTTCATTTATCATTCAGGGGACGCCCATCAAAGAGCTGCAATACACATCATTCCTACATTCACAGCCCCTCCCCTCTTTATACCTGCTCTTCAGTCTGATTAGAAAACCACTCCTGGTTTAGATTAGATAACATATTATCCAAATCACTTCTGATCATATTCTATATGTTAAAAGGACATTGGATCTATAGAAAAAATTGTGTTTCAGATCAAATGTTTTTATAATGTAAGACTGTTTTTCTTTCATCATTCCTAGGGTACCATTTCTCAAAGGACAGGAGGGATTCTTCACATTTTTAACCTGACATCCATTTTGATCTTCCCTGCAGCAACTGTACTCACTCTTACATCCATGACCCCAGGTACATACTTAATACAGTAAATACACAATCATATTTTAAGACGTTAATAAGACATTTTGGTTAAGAATGAGTTTTTCGTGTTTGTGTTTCAGTGGGTGGTATACTCTCCCTAGGAGCCTACTCAATTCTGTTTCTCAAGCTGTACTCCTACCAAGACACCAACAGGTGGTGTCGACAAATCAGACAAATGAAAGCCAAAAGACTAACACGATCATACTCATGTAAGTATATCGGAACGTATAAGGAATATTAACAGGATTGTCTGGAGGCTCGCACATAAAATACCTAAAATACAGTACACTGAACATAAGAGCTGCTCCATTAGAGATGCTAATAATGGCTGGATAAAGTTTAAAACAAGACATTTACAGAAATGTAAGTGTACACTCAACAGGATTATCTTGTTTTTATTGTTTATTACTGTGCTGCTACCACCATCTAGTGGTGACAGGAAAATCTGCACGTCATGCACTGACAGTTGTGTCTCTTGAATAGCTGTCAACGTTTTGTTAGCATTTTGAAGCTATTTTTATCTTAGATTCAACTTAATAAGTTCACCTCCTCACTGTAAGAGTTGGGATAAACCGAAAACACACAGAGTAACCTTGTGTATTTATAATGTTTATGATGGGAAAACATTGATTGAGATAAGTGTGTGAGAATAAAAGTCTTCATTTTGATGTGTCTGTGTTTTTCAGGTCCATCTGTGGCACAATCCAATGGTTCAGCAGTTCAAAGTCATGTCTCCTACCCCTGGCAACCTCACCCACAGAGGTAACCCATGGAGATAAGCGTCACCTTTTGTAAATGAAATAAAATATTTTTGAATTAACATTCTGTTCCTTTTTTGTCTTTAGACATGTACTACTTTGTCTTTGCCCCTACTCTCTGCTACCAGCTCAACTTCCCACGCTCACGTCGAATACGCATAAGGTTCCTGATGAGAAGACTTTTTGAAATGGTGAGAGGGAACACACACACACACACACACACACACACACACACACACACACACACACAAACTCACTTATTGCGTTTTGTTTTGTATGTTTATTTAAAATGAGATGGTGGACAATGAAACAGACATGCATGTTAACATGTTTTCATTTTGACTCTTTCTTGTAGCTTTTCTTCATGCAGCTGTTGGTGGGGTTGATACAGCAGGTAGGTTGAATTCTAACACTGCTTCAATCATGCAGACGTTCAGGAAATATTACAATATTTTCCTATCAGATCAGTTTTCATCCTTTAAACAAGCTAAGTCATTTCCTTTGTGTCTTCCAGTGGATGGTTCCCACAATACAGAACTCAATGAAACCATTCCAGGTGAGTACACACACACACACACACACACACACACACACACACACACACACACACACACACACACACACACACACACACACACACACACACACACACACACACACACACACACACACACACACACACACACACACACTACTGTACTTTACATGTTATACACTATCAGACATCATACAAAATGTAATGTTTGTGTCTCTCACAGGAAATGGACTTTTCAAGGATGGTCGAGCGCCTCTTAAAGTTAGCTGTGAGTATCTTGACGTACTGTAGTTACACTAAACAGATCTATGTCCTGTCATAACCTTATATTTATCATTAAAAAATGAAAATAATACACTTTAACCACTTAATCTTGTGTAAAATGAGGTTGTCTCCTATTGTGTCTGTCTCATACTGTATGATTATTAGGACTGTAAAACCCAACCAACCATATGACCATACCATACTTCTCCTAACTACTCCCATGACCCTCTCCTCCCCCCCTCTTCCTCTCCCAGGTCCCTAACCATTTGATATGGTTAATATTCTTCTATTGGTTTTTCCACTCCTGTTTGAACTTTGTGGCAGAGCTGCTGCAGTTTGGAGACAGACAGTTCTACAAAGACTGGTGGTGAGCAGAAGGATCATTCAATCACACACAATGACATATTACATACAGTATGCAGTCACACCTAAACCTTGTGATCATTTTGAGTTTGTCTCATTTAATCTTAAAAGTAATTTGGTACTGTACCATGTGCCCCACATAGGGTTGCCAACTTCCAGAAATGGAAAAACGGGACACAGGCATTTTTTTCCTGGCGGATTTAGTTACTTTTTTTTGTTACTTTATTTCGGTTTTAGGGTTAGGGTTATGTTATTTCATTATTTTGGGGGAGCCAGCCCACTAGGGTTCGAAACCCCCCAAAAACCCTCAAAATGCATAGAAAACTATGCATACCTATAGCACAATACAAACACAATGGTCTTACACCTGCATTAGGCTACTACATCACATTGTACATCAGCATGTTCAAATCGGATAGGTGGGCACTAGGGACATCTGGGCACCTCGATGTACAATTGGCTATTTTGTCCAAAATGTTAAAAAATAAATATTTGAAAAATGGTATTAAGTAATGCAAAGTATACATGATGTGAACATGCACGGTACATCATTATTAGACTTAATGTTATCCTTCAACCTACCATTTTCCCATCAATCCACACACACGCACACACGCACACACACACACACACACACACACACACACACACACAGAAGACCCGAGACAGATCTCCACTCACGGGCTTTACCCAACTGTGTTTTTCTTCCACTGTTTGTTGTAAGACACAAGTCTTTTCTTTTTAGAAGGGCCAGGGACCAGAACCACATCCTCTCTCTCTTCTCCTCTTTCATCATCACCTCCTCCACCGGCAGCGCTCATTTTCTCACACGACTGAACAGGCTGACATGCCACACAAACAATGATGCCGCACCCGCGGCCCACCGGAGAAAATCTCACACACACACGTGCGAGCATTGTGCCTGCCCTGTCAACTGAGCGGTCCTAGTGCCCTTCGGATACAGCACACAAACACACAGGCACGCAGCCAGACACACTGCATTGCGCGCAAACGGAAACATATTTTTTATTTTTCCCTTTACACGGGAATCCCGGACAAACAAAGTCCCGTACGGGACACGCCCCTTTTGGCTCAAATACGGGACGTCCCGGCTAGCCCCACATAACACAGGAACAAACGCGTATTTATTAAGACATACGTAGTCGTTCAGAAAACCCAATTGTCTTGATGTCAAACTCTCAATCTGTGCCATTCTTGTTCATTTCAGGAACTCTGAGACTGTCACATATTTTTGGAGCAACTGGAATATCCCAGTTTACAAGTGGTGTCTGAGGTGAGCACCAAAACTTGCACTAGAATTATTACCATGGTTGATGTTTGGATCACAATATTATTGCCGTGTGTATGAAATAAAATCAAGGTGTTGCCCGGCATTCATTTGAGGTTATAGTTTTTATTTTTATTGAAAAGATAAAGGTCAGTGTAATGTGTTGGTTGTCTTCGTCTTTGTGTGTTACAGACACTTTTATAAGCCAATGTTGAGAAAGGGGGTCAACAAGTTTCTGGCACGTACCGCCGTCTTCCTGATGTCTGCCTTCTTCCACGAGGTAAAGCAAAAGCAATCACTCTTCCTGTGTCACACTAACCACTAAATTCTACAAACATATCATTCAGAAAGGATTCAGACCACTATGCAAAAATCATTCAAATTCATAAATCTAAACTCACTGTGATATCTCAGGGATTTATTTTTAATACTTTTTCAGAATTATTAGAGTGTTAAAGGTGGGGTAAGTCATTTTGGAGAAACCAGCTCGAGTGCGCTAGAATTTGAAAATACACAGCCGGAACAAATCTGCCACTTCCTTACAGAGCCCCTCCTCCAACACACACGAACGCGCACATGACCAATGAGGGCACGAGATAAGTTTGTGCCCCGATGGGAGGCTGACAGGCAGGTAGGCCATCCAGTTATTTTAGCCGGGCCGGCTAAAATGATTGGTCGTGCTTTTTACAGTACTACGGCTTCCACAGATGACATTTTTTTATGGATTTGTTGTCAAAGCACTTAAAATATTCAATGCTATCGGGATGTTAAGAGCATTCCATGGAATATAACAAAAAGTGTATCTCGAGCCGGTTTCTCAAACTTACCTACCCCACCTTTAATGGAATCAATTATTGTAGAATAAGCAGGGGCGGATCTAGACAAATATTCATGGAGTGGCAAGAGAGTGGCAGGAGATTTTGAGGGGTGGCATCCCCTGGCAGAAGTATATGCTGATTTAAATCGCAATCATATCAATCAATTAGGGGTGTAACGGTACACGTACCCATACAGAAATTATTCGGTACGGGCCCTTCGGTTTGGTACACGTGTGTACCAAAGGAATATAGCGTTAAACGTAAAAAATTGAGAACATGAACAACTTTCTGGAAGTAATCTCAGGTATATATCATAGAGCGACCAAGTCATTTCATTGGACGAGAGGCATACTATGAGAGCTGGTCACAGGGATGCGTTCAAATGTAGTCAGTAATTTGAGGAACGGTCAAAATGGCGAATGCAGATCAAGTTGAGCTCGAAAATCCTCCAGCATCATTGAAGTCTCCGGTTTGGGAACATTTTGGTTTCGCAGTTACGTACAAGGATGACGGACAAAGACAGGTGGACCGAACCAAAGCTGTTTGTCGGCATTGTTTAACTAACATTGGTTACGCGGCTGGCAATACATCAAACTTGCACACTCATATGAAAAGGCATCACCCGAACGTGAATATCACCGGTACCAAAAGAAAAAAGACTGAAGTGCAAACCCAACTCCCGCTAGCATTTAAGCCTCCACCACTCGCAAAAAGTTCAGACCGAGCCAAAGCTATTACAAACACCAAATATCCTTATGTTGCCATGTTAGCAAAGCGCTACCTGGCTGTATCTGCTACCTCTGTCCCTAGCGAGAGGGTGTTCTCCACAGCAGGAGACATTGTTAGTGCCAGCAGATCTGCCATTTCAGCAAGCAATGTGGACAAGTTCATCTTTCTTTAAAAAAACATGAAAATACAATGACAAGCAAGTCCTAATGTCAAGCTGGCTGCTTAGGTACTAGTACAGTACAGTTCAAATACAGATTATTTCAGTTCATCGAAATGCTGCACCTTAATGTTTATTTTACTATATTTTGTATTTATTTGAGTGAATATTCACAGTTTAATAATAATTAAAAACCCAAAACTAATAGTTTATGTTTTGTGAGTACTAGTACAGTAAAGTTCAAATACAGATTATTTCAGTTCATCGAAATGCTGCACCTTAATGTTTATTTTATTATATTTTGTATTTATTTGAATACATTATTCACAGTTTAATAATAATTAACAAATATATATATATATATTTAATGTTTTGCGATAATTTTTTCTGCTGTACCGAAAACGTACCGAACCGAACCGTGACCTAAAAACCGAGGTACGTACCGAACTGAAATGTTTGTGAACCGTTACACCCCTACAATCAATATTAACTTGGAAAGCCACAATATTAATATTTTAACTCAATGACATAGGTGATATTATTGTGGCACATCAGTAAAGCCTTACATATGCATATATAAGGTGGCAGACGTAATTTAATGAATTTTAACTGAATGAGTTTGTCTCACTCTTAGACCAGCAGGGGTACCAAATCTATGCAGACTGCTGCAATAAGTACATTAATTAACTGTCTCATTGATGTTTGTCTGAATGAATATGATACTATTAACAATCATATTATTCCTATCAGCTGTCAATCACTGTTAATAAATAATAATAATAATAATAATAGATTTAATTTGTTAGCGCTTTTACAGGTGCTCAAAGACGCTTTACAGATATAGTGAAGAACTGTTATGATTCACATATTCATTTATTATTGAATAAACTATATTTTTTGGAGGAGTTAATGATGAATGTTCATCAAGATGCTTGCTCACCCTCCTTCAAATTTGAAAAACAAGTAATTATATCATTATTGATATACAGTTACAACCTTGACTTTACATCAGAAAGAACAAACATTAAAGAAGTGACTAACTGCATCAGTTAGGGTTAAAAAACGTGTATTCAGCTAAAACATATACATCGCTGCAGTTATTGTCCAGTGGAAAGTTCTTACCTACTGGCCTAGTTAAATCAAAGTGGTTACTTTTTTTTGTCTGGGCAGTGTAGTTTTACACACCGTCTTATTTTACTTTCTCAGGACTTAAAACTGTTTTTTGGGGGCAGACCTCCACAAATAAAAAAATATATACACGCATACAAGGTCATCATCTTAACAGTTTGTTATGCTCATCGAGTCATCCGTGAGCAGAGCATCAAGTTGGCATGTCTATTACAGCTGAATGCGGCGATTACCATGTTGTTCAGCAAAACGCCTCACAAACTTATTAAGATCAACAGCTGTAGTGCGTTTTGATTCAATGCTGAGTACAGACTCTTCTCTGTCATTGTAGATCGCAACTACCTCATTCCTTCCGTCTACTTGAGTCCAAAAGGCTTCTCGTTTTGCGCCGTCCCCCAGTTCAAGTGAATTCGCCACCAATCATATTTCCACTCTCGCGCCAGGGCTGGGGGAGGGGTTACAAGACTCGCGTCTTGTGCTGCATTCACTTGCACTCGGACATTAGAGACTTTCTCTCAAATGTCCGATGAGCCACAACTTTTCTTTCAAAACAAAGATGCCAACTGGGGTGGCAGCTGGGGTGGCAAGGCTATTGTTTAGGGTGGCAGTTGCCACCCCATGCCACCCCGGTAGATCCGCCCCTGAGAATAAGGCATTAGAAATAAGCGGGTCTGAATAAAGTCTGAATGCCCTGTATCTGCTAATTCATCCTCCAGACATCTATCCTTTTTACTCGATGTCTGTACCTGAAATGGCCTTGTGTGTACAGTTGTCAGTTCAACAACTTAGACAGTAAAGTGAATCATGTCAAATGACAACAAATATTTTTACGCCATATTAAGCAGTGCAAATTCAAACTGTTATATGTAATTTAAAACTATGTTTTGTGTCAAAACTTTGATTCCTGAAGATGTTGTATCTGAGATATGAGTTTTCATTTGTTCCCTTCTCACAATAACTCATTTGCAATACATTTTGAGAGATGGTCTGTGTCTGATTGTATTCCTCTGTCTTTCTTCTTCAGTACCTGGTGAGCGTTCCTCTGAAGATGTTCAGACCGTGGGCCTTTATGGGAATGATGGCTCAGGTAAGACACACTGAACCGTCTATCACCTTTTCTCTCCTCTGCTGTAGGCAAAACACCCTTTGACCTCTGACCTTTAACCTCTCCAGGTTCCTCTGGCGTGGTTTGTGGGTCGTTTTCTTAACGGAAACTATGGCAACGCCGCAGTGTGGATCTCACTCATCATTGGCCAGCCTGTCGCTGTGTTGATGTACGTCCATGACTACTATGTCATTCATTATGGGAGCACGACATAGCACACACACACACAGTTTCACAGTCACACACATTAACATGTACAAGTCATGCTGAATACTCGCACACAGACACACACACACACACACACAACACACACACACACACACACACACACACAGACACACACACCACACACACATACACAACCTGCAGGACTACTCAAGGAGTTAAAGTTGAGTAGGTTGAGTGGACTTTATTAGAAAGCCCTGCTGATATGAATCTGTCAGTGAAAGCAGCAGAAAATAGTTTTTGCCTCGTGGATTTTTGCACTATAGAGAAATGAACTCAGGAAAGTATTCTTAGAACCTGAGAAGTGCTTGCTTTAAAGAGTATTCCTCTTTTATTAGGTCATTCCTTTGAAGTCAGGTCCAAAGTCTCCACCTGCTCTTAATATCTATATCTAGCATTGAAACGATTCAACTTTAAACAAACAAGTATTTCATTTCTAAGGTGTCCCAAAGTTGCCAAAATGGGCGATTGAAAATGTATGAGCTCAAACTAAGGTTAAGTGCAATATATAAAATGATAAGAGCACTTCGCTGCATTCAAAAGTGGAAACACTGCTTGCAAGCAGACCCCCTTTTGTTCTGGAATATGCGCAACAAATGTGAACCACTGCCGAGAAAAACACAGAAGAGGATCCTCAACAGAGCCTTGCTTTCAAAGGCAACAGGGGAAAGATGATGACAGATAAGTAGCCAATGCTTTAAAATTGCAATATTAGAAAGATCCCAGTGATTTAATAATTGTTTTCATAGTGTACATTCTGAGTCTCTCTTTTTGATCTTGTGCAGTTGTTGAGTATTACAGAAATGTGTATTTGAAGGATTTTTTTCAACAAAGATTTAAGGCAGGAAAGGAAAGAAAGAAGCTAAACAATGAGGGAGAAACTGTAGACTGATGTTTTTGTTTTTATTTGTACAATCGTGAACGTCCAGGCAGCCTTTCCTCTTCTGTTTCTCAACTCCAACGCCATCAATGCAAACTCTTTGTGTAACAGAACATGCTGCAGGTGTGTTTTCTGTTGGCTTAAGTGTCTCTTTTGTAATGCATTCGACTTATCAGAGGTTTTATTTTATACTTAGTCAAATGTTATGTGTCGGTACAACAGTTACATTGCACTAAATTATAACTGATGTGATGTATTATTTTGAACCAATAATTTAATGCAGTAAGTGATTTGCTGATTTGAACCAATGAATGTTTTTGCACTTTAAAGAGATGCATACGGAGCCCTAAAGGGACATTTTTTCTGGAGAAAGTTACCGCTGCGCCAAGGAGGAAGTGGAGCACACAGGAGGAGACAACCATTTCATTGCAGACTGTTATGTTTACGTGGGGAAATGGCAGTGCATACATTATTTGAGAGGGGGGATGTGAGTCTGTTTGTGCTCTGCTCAGCTCCGCTCTGTGTGTTCTGAGTGTTTGTTTCACCTTAAAACAGAGTCACGGACATTAATTCATAGATCAAAGCAGACTGGTTTACAGACTCTCCTGTTTTGCCAATCCGGTGCTTGAACAAATAGCTCTACACCCCAGGCTGAAATGTCCATCAAATTAAGTCTGAGTTCGAAATATATCTCAAATAATGTATACACTGTCATTTCCCCACGTAAACATAACAGTCTGCAATGAAATGGTTGTCTCCTGTGTGCTCCACTTCCTCCTTGGTGCACCGGTAACTTTCTAAAAAAAACACAACAAAAAGTCCCTTTAGGGGCTCCGTAGATGCATGCCGTTGACTAAAGCAATATATTTTTCAAATGTATTCTTTAAGATATATCAATCATGTGAGGAAAATATGTTTGGTAATTTGCTTGTTGATATTTTTGTTGTCCTATAAGGTGGGCTTAATTTCGGTTTGTTCCGATGTAGAACAGCAGCTGCAGTGGAAATAATGCCTTTTCATGCCATAGGTTTTTCAGTGTTCAAATTCTAAAGAAAATGATTGTCTTGGTTTAAAAAAAAAAAGATGCCAATACATATATGGATATATCCATACAAGAGTTAGATGCTCTGTCATTTTACATTTGTTTTAATCTGCTTTCCAAGTACACAGTGAAAGTTGACTCATCATGACAAATAATCTCCAAAGTTGTATTTAAATTAGTTTAGAGCAAATTTCAGGGAGAACACTGTTCAATCAGGAGAGACGGTTTCGATGTAAGAATACATATTTATTGCCAGGAATACAAAAATGAATGTAATGGAGTTTTGGCGATTAGGCCCAGTTGTGCAGGAGTATCATTCGGGAGGGGAAAACCGATCCGATGAAACCCCCCAGGTGAAAAAGGGGTGGAGGAGGGTTGCGTTTAAACCGTTTATACAGTCTATTGGTTGAGTCCATAGACTGTATATATAAAGAGTCACATGAAATGACAGCTGTCAGAGGGGGGGAGAGCAGATTTAAAAGGGTTAGCGGAGCGCTATGATAGGCTTGTGAGAATAGAGCGAAGTGATTGGTTAAGCTGGGGAGTGACGCTCCCGATCACTTATTGAGAGGAGAGAGAGTAGTAAATGAATGAGTAAAGAAGGTCTTCCTGGTTGAACTTGCGCTGAGCTTCATTTGTTAAATTCTACTACCAGTTATCAAAACTACTGAGTTTTGACATTCCTTATTCAAATGTGCCTGCTGTAAAACCACGGTGAAACTAGGTCTAAAGAATTCTATCAACCAATTGTTTTACGTCAAAAAAACAGAGGCCAAATACACCCATACCTTCATTTGTGTAGGCAATAGATTTATATTTAATGTTGTGAAACATTTGGAAATTGAAGACCTCCTGCACATATTCGAAATACCTGTTTAAATGCGACAGCTTATCACTTTAAGCGATATTTTGTATGCATTGATGAAAAGAAGATGTTTTTTGGAGAGCCATATTATCAGTTGGTCTTACCTGATTTTAAAAAATATGACCCAGTTTAAAATCTGTGTGGACTTTTGAATCAGTGAGCAGCAGATTGCATGTTTTTTTTAAAAATTTGTATTCATTGACAATTCACTGCAAAAAACTGCTACGGCAGCATCTTCCCAAAATACAATATGCATGTTTCATGGGTGGGGGAACTAGAATGCTAAACAATAAAATGACAAGTCGTCGGTATCAGTAATCACTGGCGAAATCCAATGGTACAGATGAACTCACAATGTAAAATGATAAATAGAAATGTAAAGAAATTATGCTTTTTCTCATTTTATAGGATGAGAAACTCGTTTTGTTCTGTGAAAAATGTTTTGTTTACAAGCTTACTTAAAGTCACAGGGTGCAGTCCTGAGTCCCAACCACAGCTTTAGATAGGATATGTTGCATCTCATGGCTCCTCCTTCTTTTGTGTGCTTTATTCACCTCATTATTCCTGTTTTCACAACATTACTGTACTGCATCTGTCCTTGCAATATGAGTTGAAATGCTGAAGATGCAGCTTTAAGCTAAACTGACTTTAGTTGTGAAATAAATGCAATACTAATCTGTTCATACTGTTCACAGAAATCCAAAGTGAAACAAAGACTATAATGTTTTTTGGGAATGCAAATCATTTCCCGAGCCTTTCACTTGAAATGTGTGTAATTTGATAAAGATTAATTATATTTGAAGAAAGGACTCGTCTCTTTTTGTTCGTTGCAGTTTGTTCATGGTTGGTATTTGACAGACATGGATCGCCTTATTATATTATTATATTTGTATTTAATACAGCCCTAACTGAGCCTTAATTCTATCAGCAGGGAACTGTGAAGCCTCCTATCCTGTTTCCCAGTTATTTGCCAGCACATGGCTGCTTTAAGAATGGATTTTTAAAAACTATTTTGGCAATTGTAAGATTTATTGTACAATGAACTAATGCTATAGATTATATTATATTTAAAACTGTGCAGTCTGCAAAACTGTGATGACAGATGAGTACATAAAATACTTTATTGTGCAGAAAGCAACACAAGACGGCAATCAAAACTCAACATTCACAATATTGCAAAGTTTTAAAGTTCATCACATGTTTACACACAGTTATATCTTACAGCTAAACTCCACATCAGCTCAGGGGGGACGGTGCAGGGGAGAATCTTTACTGCTGCAAGAAACAAATCAGATCAACAGCTAAATATCTATCCTCTTTTTAAACAAACTAAACGTGCACACATAAAGATCTGGTTTTATGTGGTGTGTGTGTGTTTTTTTTTACCTTGGCCTTTTGGTTCTGGACGGGCAGGTAGAGTTTGAACTCTGCAGGGAGCTCGTCCTCAGAGTACAGTCTGTCTGAGAAATACACTCTCCTTATTCGACAGTTAGCGTGGATCTGAAACGAAACATAGCTTTATTCATTATAAAAATAGTGCAATCTTACAAATGTCAAAATAAAATGGGTCAGCCCGCTTTTATCCACTACGCTCCCAAACTGTGGAACACCCTACCAGGAAATATCAGAGGCCAACTCAGTGGACATTTTTAAATGACAGCTAAAGACAAATCTTTTTAGATTAGCTTTTTATTAGCTACCCCCCCCACCTCTTTTAAATTGTCTTTTAGTCTTTATTATTTACCTACTTTTATATTGTTTTATTTATCTTATAGATCTTAAAAGGGTTTTATCTTATATATTGAACAGTTTTAATAGCAATATTTCCTTTTACGTTGGTCTTTTAATATTTTAATTGTTTACCCTTTATTAGAAATATGAATTTTGTATTACTTTTATCTTTTAATTTTTATTGTACCTATATGTTTATTTTAGTATGGTTTCATATTGTTGCATCGATTCACTTAGTCGTGGGTCTTTTTTTCCCCCAGAGAGGAATCGTTATTTATTTTATTGTATTTTATTTGTATTATCATACCTTTTACCTCCTTGTGTTTCTTAACCTGTTAACATGTTATATTTTGTAGCTATGCTGTATGTATCTGTAAAGGTCTTTATTATGATCTGAGGGGAATTTATTGTTGTTTATTTATATTTTTGAATTGTGATGTGTGCCATTTTGTCAAGCACTTTGAGCTGCACGTGCTGCATGAAAAATGCAATATACATAAAGCCAGACCCGGCGCCAGAACAAATCTACACATGGGCACACCTATCGCAAATAAATACACAAATAAAGGGTAACAAACACTGGTAACTCATGAGCAAGGCACACATTTGAAATAAAAACATAACAGCAACAGCTTTGCTTGGGCCTTAAACTTGGACAACCGCTGACCGGAGCAGCAAACATAATAATACAGAGCGACACCACATTATGCAGGGCGTAACGTGGCGCAGTAAGCACTGACATATTAATTGACATGCAAACATTCTACTTACTGCTTTATGCTAATAAAGCTGGAGACGCCGTTTGCCTGAAGAATGGAATGGATTGAAGGATCGAAGGATTGGGCTCGCTAACTCAGCCCCGGGGTTTGCTGAGGTCAAGCTAGTAACACTACGGCGTGCTGCTGCAAGGTGCAGTCGCCAGCAGCACCATCGGCTGTAGTTCTTTCATCGCAATTTATTTGTAATAAATCCTTAGACCTACTCGTGGTTGTAAGCCAATTTCTGATGTCCATTTTGTAATTTAAGCAGAAATGGGAGTCTACAGAATGCATAATAAAAAACAAATCCAGAGTAGTGTGACGCTGTGATTGGTCTAAATGTGGACGAATCACAAATCACAAAAGACACATTCATTGATTTGACGGAGCCTACGATCTTTTTGTGTAGTTACTATCTGACATCACATACATCGTAGCAGTAAAGTTCACAGGTTATTTAAAAAAAAAAACGTGTTTATTGGGGAAGGCAGAAATGTCAAATGGGAGGGCCTGGCCCTCTCTGGCCCTCCCACGGCACCGGGTCTGCATAAAGCTTTGTTATTATTATTATTTTTATTATTATGTCACACTAGTGAAAGTGCAAGTAGCATCTGGAGACAGTTCGCCCGTTTCCTGTCCACTCACCTGTACACGCAGCGTCTCGATGTAATTGGTCCCATAAGCCCTCCTGGTGAAGTCTGACAGGTTAAACTGAATCTGGTTCCAGCCGTCATCCAGCCTCATGGGCATTGTGCAGATAAACGGCTTCACTCGTGTCGTGCTTTGATAGTTACTCGCCCGAAAGCGCCGCCGAACATTTTTATCATCCAACACCTGAAATATGGAAGAGATGAAAAGAAAGCTTGAGTTGTTTGTTTCTGCCACCAAGACATGGAAGTGTTTTGTATCTGCAAGAATGTTAACATCACCTGGACTTCAAAGGTGAAATACTTCTTGAGATTTTTGATGATCATAACGAGAAAAGGAAGCTTGATGCCCAACGTCTTCTTAGGGTCTGCAGGACATGTTATATATGTGGTGCTGCAGAGAGAAGAAATTACAATTAAAATAAAAGGGTGGTAAATTAGTGACTAGAGCTTTAATAATGATTCAAGCTGAGCTAAAAAATCAGTTAAAAAAAATAGTCACAACTCACCTGACGTTTGTTCCCTCGACCTCCAACACCAGTGAGTGGATGTCATTGTCTGTGATTCTCTTGATATGACCATTTCTAACCTGTGAAAGCACAGCAATTGTATTTTCTTAAAATGTACATAAAGAAATCAAGCCATGTCACATTGGTTTAGGATGGCTGTCACCATAATTTCACTTAATATTTCTAGATAATTCTTCTTCTACATAAACTGTGACATACTGTTTAAAAGGTAAGGATGTATTTAAATAGGAATTTAAACTGCATGAAGTAAAGCAAGCTCCCAAATATTTCAAAACGACATGAATATAAATGCGTTATGAATCTATTGGATACAAAAACAAGGCTAACATTTTATCTCAGTTTATTGGTAAAACAATCTGTATATAACATTGGGATTTTTAACTTAATCTTACAACAGGCACAATAAATAACATATCAAGGTGTTGAAAGTGAGTTAACCTCAGAATCTTAAACAAAGTGTATTTTTTCTGTTATTAATTGTTGCATGGCAACAGCGCCTTTTGGTCCACCTAGTATCCTGCATTAGTTATTTAACAATGACTGAAAACTAGTGGTTGTCAAATGTTCGATATTTTATGAGCAACACAAGACCCATACTTTACTTTCAGATCAATGCTTATGCTTTGAATCATTACTGTAACCTGTGTTTCAGACTATCAACAACGGACATATCAACTGGGGTTGCCAGCGTTGTTGAAAAATGGGGTTGACTAAATAAATCAATGATTTTATCATAACGACAACATTTTACTAGATCCGATTAAATCCACTTATCGAATAAAACAATGTAAGCTTCTAGCGTATACGAAAAACAAGCTCCAACAGAGACACATACGCTAACGCTAGTTAGCTCTAGCGCGGCTAACGTTAGCTAAGGAAGCTAGTTATAATAATAAGTAACTCTGCTCACCTTTTTATCCCATATCTGAAGTGGTTTGCTGCCGATGCTGTATAAAATAGACAAGAATCCGCTTTGAAACGTGTTTTTAAACATCTTGTTTGAGCTTAGACCACAGTGTATTTGCACATGTGTTTACGTCTACTAACTAAAACCGTTGCTAGCTAATAGGTTTACGTTTGTTTACAGATTTAGTTTCCGTCCCCAACGCAACTGGTTCCGTGCGGTACAAAATAACCCGTTCCGCTGTCAGAAGTTACAGCTTTTGGTTAACTCAGACTTGTCTTGTTTTGTGACATCCCCACACGTCCTCCCTGGGACATGTTAAAGTAAAGAAGGCTAATGTTCACCTCCTTGTTATTTTGGTGTTGCTAAGGAACAGAAGCTATTGGCGTTGTTCAGGTCGGGTCTTTTTAAATGGTTACGCAACTCGGTAGCTGTGGCAACGAAAAGCTAGCCCAGCGCCGTATATATAGAAGTCGAGGACGCTTCCTTGGTAGCACATGTCCTTCTGAGTCAGGTCCTTCAGAGGCTAGGCAATAATCCTTCCTAGCATTCGGAGAACGAATAATGGAACAGGCTAGCAGGTGTGCAGCCTGCAGGTGTGTGTGTCATATGCAAGACCCCGCCTTAAATTGAGCACGATTTGTTTGAAGACTCATAAAACAAACACTCAGAATTACGAACAGACATAGAAGTTCCACTTAGCAAAGCGGAGGTTAGAACATTCATACAGAAATATCTATGCACAAACAACATGGCAAAAACATTGGGACATTAATGATACAGGAAGACATCTTTATCAAATTCAAATGTATGTGGGGGATGGAAGGAAGGGGGGGTTTAAAAGAAGGGTAGACAATGTAATTTCTCGGATGAGAATAAGGTCATACAGGACTTTCAATCCAGAATAAACTGTCGAACATGTTTTAAAAATATTTTAAGAAATATATTACTCTGAGGAATGTGCTTTTCCAGACACTGAAGAAAGCAAAATACCATGACTTTTCGCTTTCAGGGCTGTTAGGGAAAACATCAGGCAATATATATTTTGAAATTATTAAGTTTCTAAGAGACATTGATACATTTAAAATAAGAGTTGTATTTCTTTTTTTTGTTTATTATTTGTCTGCATAGTCTCTTGTCCACACTCCAGTCCAGTTGGTGGCGGTAATGCACCTACAAGTTGGTTTGCCAACCGCCAATAAACACAGAAGAAGAAGAAGAAGAAGAAGAAGAAGAAGAAGAAGAAGAAGAAGAAGAAGAAGAAGAAGAAGAAGAAGAAGAAGAAGAAGAAGAAGACTCATAACTGATTTGCAAAGATCGAAGATGGATACGTTTTTGTTGTTATCTTTTATCCATCAATTTTTTGAGATGGAGGACGAGGTAGAGCGGGAGTATCGTCGGCGTCTGTCTGCTCGGAGGAGGAGGATGTACTGTCGGCGCCTTTGCAGAGGACGACCTGCTCGGGTAGGAGAAATAATGTATTGTTTTATTAAATGTTGGGAGAATGGGTAAGCTAGTTAAATAGGTCTTGCCGCTTGCCTTCCTTGCGAGTTGTATTCTCTAATGTGAATCAAGTAAATGAAGCATCCATAATAACTCCATAGTTAGTTTGTGAGTTGTGATAGGAAATGGGGGACCCTGATGTAAACAAGACGAAAGTCTTTCTTTGGTCTGCATCCCTTTAACAAGTGTATGTTTTGAGCTGTACTGTACTGTACCCAATATACAAGCTGTTAATAAACTTTTCAATCAATCAGATGGTTTGAATCCCCCTTGGTAGACACCCCTTTCTATTCCCTCTTGCATGCTTCCCGCGCACAATAAGCAAGCAACCCTTTTATCCCGTGTCAATGTTGCATATAGTTTGTGCATGTTTTGTAGTCGTAACACTTATCGATGCGGAGAAAATGTGTAATCACATTGAAATTGTGTTTTTAATAATGTAAACACACACACAAGCAAATAGCAGATTTGAAAAAAATAACAATTAACAAATGTCAAGTAAACTTAAACTGCCCTCTATTCTTTATGTTATGCAGGCCCATCATTACTGCATAATTAATGCCACCGTGCCAGTCCTCCAGAGGTATTTTGCAGACGAGGACACCCGCCCTGACTTTCGGCTGGGCAGGGAGGCCATCCAGCAGCTCCTAGTGGCGCTGAAGACGGAGAGGCAACATGGATGGGGGCCAACTCTGGAGACCCTTGTTTTTTTGTTTTGGATTGCCAGTGGCTCCGCTTACAGAGTGGTCTCCCGTGCGTTCGATGTGCCTCTGCCGTCCGTTCACCGCATTGTCCACAGGATGGTGGATGAGGTGGTGGCCGTCTTGCCCCAGTTTGTCCGTCTCCCATGTGTTGAGGACTTGCAGGTGGTTGGTGAGGGTTTTGCCCGGTTGGCTCACCACCAAGCCTTTAGCAAGGCAGCTGGGGCAATTGACGACTGCCACATCCGAATCAAATGCCCAGGTGGCCCTGATGGTCAAGACTTCTGCAATAGGAAGCTGTTCCCTTCAGTTGTGTTGCAGGCCGTCTGTGACCATCAGGGACGCTTTATTGACATTTTTGTGGGTTACCCAGGATCCGTGGATGATGCAGGGATTCTTAAGAACAGCCCCATCTACACTAGGGGGACTTACCCTCCCCCAGGGTATTTCATCCTAGCTGATGGTGGCTCCCCATGTCTGCAGGAACCCATGGCCCTTATCACACCATATAAGAGGCCAGTGAGAGGCATGGCAGAACAACGGTTTAATTACCATCACTCCAGGGGTCGCTCAATCATTGAGCGGGCCTTTGGGGTGCTGAAAACCCGCTTCAGGAGCATCTTTTTAGAAGCACTTGAAGTACATCCTAAGTTTGTCCCTAAGGTAATGAATCATTCTAATGTTTCTGTAGCAAATGAGTTAATTGAAATCCTAATATCCTTATCCTGCTATACTAAGACTGTCTTAATGCCTAACTATTGCAGTCACATATGATAGATACTATGCATCACACTTTGTTTTGTCCTTTCTTTACTCTGCCTTGTGCACAGGTTGTGACAGCCTGTGTAATTTTACACAATATATGTGTCGGGGTTGGGGATGACCTACCTCCAGAAGATGCCGCCCTGGAGGAGGTCAACCAGCCACCTGCTGCGCATGAAGGTGGTGGGGAGAGTGAGAGGGGAGCAGCATGGCGTGCGGCCCTTGTCAACGAGGTGTCCGCACTTGCTGTTGCTCCACTGGACTATGACTATTTTGCACAGGTGAAAAAAATGGCTCAAATCCCATGTCACAATCTGCTTATGTACTTGAGTAACTGTATTTTGTAAAATGATCATCTATCCAGGACAGAACCACTAAACTAACATCAAACTTTCTCCTTCTGTATGCAGCCTTGAAAAAGTCCTGGAGGATAAGCAGCCATAAGAAAATCACCATCACCAATTCTGCCTACAGGTGGGAGATGGACCACCTGGTGACCTGGTGCAGGGACAACCACCTCAACGCTCTCAAGACAGTGGAGATGGTTGTGGACTTTAGGAAGAACGCAGCCCCACCACTCTGTGTGACTCCCCAGTAACTGCTGTGGAGTCTTTCCGCTTCCTGGGCACCATCATCGCCTAGGAGCTCAAATTGGAGCAGAACATCGGCTCCCTCATCAAAAAAGCCCAGCAGAGGATGTTCTTCCTGAGGCAGCTGAAGAAATTCAACCTGCCAAAGACAATGATGGTGAATTTCTTCACCTCCATCGAGTCCATCCTCACCTCCTCCATCACCATCTGGTATGCCACAGCCAAGGATAAGGGCAGGCTGCAGCGTGTCATTCGCTCTGCAGAGAAGGTGATCGGCTGTAATCTGCCATCCCTCCACGCCTCCAGGACCCTGAGGCGGGGATAGTGGCCGACCCCTCCCACCCTGGACACAAACTGTTCACCCCCCGCCCCTCTGGCAGGAGGCTGCGCTCCATCAGGACCAAAACCTCTCGCCACCTGAACAGTTCTTCCCCTCCGCTACCGGCCTCTCAAACAAGGCCCGGCCCCCCCACCGACACTTTGCCTCAGCCATAACGCAGACTCTATATGCATTACATTAATGCACACAATGTTCAAATATTACTTACTGCACACATTTCATATTCTATAATTCACTGCATTCTATTTCACTGTAAATTACTGCTTTACTTTATTGCTATCCATCTATATTTTTTTACAGTGTTCTTAATATAGTTAGCTGTGTACTTTGTTACATTCGTTTTATATTTGATGTATGCACCATGACATCAAGTCAAATTCCTTGTACGTGTGAACCTACCTGGCAATAACCCCCGTTTCTGATTCTGAATAATACAATTTGTATTCATATATCATACTTGATGTCTGCAAACCTTTTTTACACATATTGGTGCACATTGTAGCATAAACCACAAATATCAACAAAAGAGGCAAAGTCAAAACAAGGTTCATTTTAATTACATTTTAATTCAATTATTTATTTTGGTGCAAAACGCTCTAAGAGAGCAAAGAACCTTTCAAATCTTTCTCGGGCCTCTGCTGCTCTCCTCTCTTCTGCCTCTCTCTGATAGAGGAGGTCTTCCCTTAAGAGATTAAGGAACGGATCCTCTCTCTCCCTCTTTTTCGTTCCTCCGCCTCCTCCTCTCTGTCTCTCCGTGTCATCCTTGTATTTTTCCTCCTCATCCTCATCCCCTCGCCCTCTCTGACCTTCCTGGGCAGTGCTTGGCCCTGGATTGTCCTCTTTGATGGAGGCAATCAGGCCGGGGGGCAAGCCCGCCGCAGACTGCCCTAATGCCTCATCCATTAGGACAAACCAGGGCCAAGTCGCTGCCGTCGGTTTCCCGTCGTCAGTGCCCTGTCCTGAGGCGGGACACTTGCATTCCTGAACAGTGAAGACCAAATACATACATTACATACACGCATTAATATATGAAAACATAATACATATAATCATGTCTATATAACCTCTCCCACCTTGTACTTGGTTTTCAGATTGTCCCATTTCTTTTTGGCTTGGGTGTGGGTTACCTTGCCCATAACCCCCATTTTTGCCAAAATTGTCCTATGTAAATGATAAGGAGAAAGCAGCGATTAAATTACATCTTGAACAATATTTACTACCTAAACAATCTCACTTGCTTCTCACCGATAACCATTGGCGGCGGTGTCCCTACCGCCCGTGAAAAGGTGCCGGTGCTCAACACGGTGGCGTATAAATGCCTCGGTCTGTTCCTTATTCCCTTGAGCAAACACAAGAAACAAAAGTATGTATAATGCCTTGTGTAATTAATGAATACCAGGCGAAACACCGACAAGTCCGGCAACAGACATTAATTCTCTCTGAGTGACTAGATGGGGTGTCCTGCTATAACCCTGAAGTGAAATAAGTATTTGATACTGGAGAGTTTTTGTTTTACTCTTATCTAAAAACAGAGGGATGAAATGAGATTTCAAAGGTCTTTTATTTTGAAACTGTACATCAGATTGTCCTGTTCTCTGATTGACTAGATGGGGTGTCCTGCTATCACCCTGGAGTGATTAGTCTTTGATTGACTTCGAATGACTCTTTGATTATGGACAGTTACCATTAAATGATAATCAAAATATAGATGGACAATAGATCTAATTTGAGATTTTAAACAGCATACATTTTAAATTGTGCTTCAGAAAGTCATGTTATTTTTGGAGTGTTGTGAGATGGTGTCAACATCAATTGAAATGAGTCACCCAGTGAAAATGGACATTTTAATAATGAATGTGGTCAGATATGTCTTCATAACTGTATCCTTAAGTTGTACATTCACTCAGTTATCATTTGGTAGTTATACATAGTTTGTTTTAAATTATTATTGATCACATTATATAGTACATATTTCTTAATTTAAGCTCCAGTAGCCTATATATGAATATGTTTGTTATGTTTTTTAGGTATATTTGTTATTTATTGACCGAGTCAGCGCTTTTATTTTGAAGGCAGTTTTTACAGGCCTCTACCGTAATGCATAGGATATTCGCGCAACGCAATGCAACGTGGGGGCTGGCTTGACTGTGTTTTCCGAAGTGGAGGCTGGCTTCTCATAGGTTTTATATCGATGAGCTAGCGAACTTAAGTGAAGACATGCCATACTGACATAATTAGCCTACCTCACGATGTACCTAGCTAATTATGAACTTGCTTTACTTTCACGGAACACTTTATGGTGGTAAAACATTTAACAAAGTAACACATTTACCAACACTACACATTTTCTACGCCACTGAACATACTTACATTTAAATGTGTACTGCTTCAATTCAGCCATTTCCCGCCAAAGATTAGGGAAATTGGTCCGTGCGCAAAGAATTGTGGGTCCTTTAAAACCGCCGAGGATACACATGAGCAGCCTCGAAATTTCGTGAACAAAGTATTCAGCCCTCGGTAGAATTCCAAGGATCCTGTACATCGGAACAGTCCTTCGACGGGATTCAATGACGTAGCATCCGGCTGCAGTCGAATAGTCCAAGGCCCAATCGCAAACCACTCCCTCGACCCTACCCCTCCGTGACGGAGTGAACTCCGTCTGTAGCCACACTCGCAGCTCAACGAGGCTCCCTCCTGTCAGATGGAGGGAGTAAATACAGCAGCAAGCTTTGGGACGGCCTCCCCTCTCTCCGGCAGAAACAGGAAATGCCGTAACTCTATGTAACAACGGTTTCAAACCAGCATCTCTTAGAAAAAAAGTTTAAATTAATAACTCAAATAAAACTCCAAACATCTTTCATTGTGTTTCAAAGCTCTTTTAGTTTTAAACCTGATGTTTATAAGCTTCTTAGTTTTTGCAACGGTCTGTAAATATACACAACTTTATAATAAAATGCACAATTTTACTTTTTTCTAGACTAAACACAGGTATGATCCTAAATTAAAAACATATGAGGTCATCATGAGGTTGTTAACATCGTAGTTTATCAGTGGATGTTTGCTGGAACTACTTTTTAACAGCTTGTTTCCCGACGGACACACACAGCGTGACTCCGGTCAGGTAGAGACCGGTCTCAAGTCAGCATCGCTGCAGACTCGCTGTTTGAGGGCTTGATAGCCCACTCCCCCTCCACACCGCTCCACACTCGTTGCTTTGGAACAGCCCTTAATATGGCGGACCCTCCGCGTGAACGCGCAAACGGAGGGGTAGTAGGGTGTAGGGGGCGGTTTGGGAATGGGCCGAAGTCTACCCATGTGCATCCTCGAAATTTCCCCCAAACCAAGGACGCGGCCTCGGTGGAATTCCAAGTATGCTGGAGATTGGAACAGTACTTCGTCGGCACTCGATGACGTAGCTAACGGAGATTAGAAGCTGTTTCAACGATAAGAAGAGGGAGAGTCCTCTCCTGTCGGACTGAGAGAGATAACGTCAGCTCAGGGAGGTAAAGGACTCTGAGTGATTAGATTGTAAACTTTAATCTAAGTTATCTCAGTGGGTCTCAAACGGTTTGGTCATCTATGTAAACACATATTTCGATGTAATATTAGTTGTATATAAAATAAGTTAAGAAATCCTTCCAATGTGTACTATAGGTCAGTACAAAAATATAAAACACAGTTTGAAAGGGAAGTGATTATAGTCAAATATGCATAAATAACAAGAAATAATGCAGACTAGGTAAAATAAAGATAGGAGAGAGGAGTTTATCAATGATTTGTTATTGGTTGAGCATATTCTAATGGTTTTTAGATTATTGAAATATATACAGTTCTGTTTCATATGAGTGTTGAGAACTGTATCCATAAATCTCTTAATGTTGCCCTCAAAGTGCACCAGATTGATGCATTCAACATCAATTTAAAGAATTCCCGGGGTGCATGGCCCCGGACCCCCGTGAGGTCATCACAAATAAAACAGGTTCACATGGATAGGATACTAGATAAGTGTGCACACTCATTATATACACTACATATTTTTCTTGGATTTGTTAACACTATAGTCCCCAATATATTTTAAGAAAGGCAGGAAATGGAATTAAATTGAGAAAATGTTTCATTGCGGAGGACCCCCTGTTTTGTGTCCCCCCCACTTCTCAAACCAAAGTTACACCCTTGGTGTTGTGTTATGCTTTATGAACAGGGACAACAGAGAAACATATTCTTCATGAATGAGGTTGGAATTTAAATAAAACAGGAAAGTGAAACTTATGCTTGTTGTCATCCTCACCCTCCGGTCCACATTAATACAAATTATCCCAATACGTATTGGTGTATGACCAGATCTTAAAAGAAATACAAATGTATTATAAACGTGTGTTAGTCCTTAACATCTATCACTGTGTATACCACCATTAAAACATCTATTAAAAGTTTAAGAAACCCCACACGAGCTGAGTAAACACTATGAAATGTTGACTTTATTTGATCATTTCAGTAAAATAACGTTAATATTATATTTTGATTATTATAGTGTTGAACGTTTAAAATAAAGCACTTTAAGTTCTCACAGCAAGTTACCACATAAGTTGTAAAATGCTAAAAGTAAAAAGTATCGTAACTTTCATGATACTAATTTCTCGGTCATAATCGGTTGTTTCCATTTTCTCCTTTCCTTTCGTAAAGGAAAGTCCAGTGTTTCCTAAGCTAAAGGAGGTTATAAAGGAATTTTCAAACCTCCTTTCCTATCATCTAGAGTAGACTCTGGGTGTTTCTCAATGTCGAGGACGCTTCCTTGGTAGGACATGTCTTCCGAGTCACTTCCTTCAGAAGCTAGGCAAGAATCCTTCCTGGCATTCGGAAAACGAAGAGTGGAACAGGCGAGCAAGTGTGCAGGTGTTCGTCATATGAGAGGCCCCGCCTTACATTTCTCGCTACGAAGGACGCCGGGCTCGGTAGAATTCCAAGGAGCCTGGACATTGGAACTGTCCTTCGGCGGGACTCGATGACGTAGCATCCTTGAAATAGTGGCTCTGGAGCATCCTTCCTTGACATTGAGAAACTCTGGCCGTTTCTCAATCGCGAGGATGCTGGCTTGGTAGTCGCGTACTTCCAAGTCACTTCCTTCAGAAACGAAGCAAGTATACTTCCAAGCCACGGCTGCGGAAAACGAAGAAGAATGGAACAGGCTAACAAGTGTGCCACTCTCTCTAACGGTTTCAACATAAACTGTACCAAAAATAAATACCTCACGATGTCTATCAAATTATGAACTTGCTTTACTTTCACGGAACACATTTTTGGTGATAACAAACAAATGTAACAAAGTAACATATTTACCAACACATGTTCTACCCCACTACATACTTACATTTAAATGTGTGCTGCGTCGGTTCAGCCATTCTCCGCAAGGGTTTTTGAAATTGGTCCGTGCGCAAAGCATTGTGGGGATTTTAAGG